TTCATTTTTATTTGTTTTGTTTGATTGTTTATCTTGTCTGTTTTAACAGACTGCACTGCATTTCTTGCCATTATCAGAGGCTTACAGCAGAAGATGACCTTACTGAAATGCTCCACTCAAAAGTTCTCTGTGTAAAAAATGTTGTTCTGCAGTCAAAAGAGTAATGATAATTTAAAATAAGGGACGAGATTTGTGAGATGCAAGTGGGAGAGTTCCTTTGTTTGTGCTTTTTTATGCTGCGTATATATAAGAGTAGAATGGAAAATCTCCAGACCCAGTGTAGAATCCATAGGTCCTGCAACTATCAGACCAATAAATAAATAAATAAATAAAAATTAAAAAAAAAAAAAAGATATGTATAAAATTATCCATGATCTAGGAACTGCCATTGTGCCCTACTTGTGTGTATTGCAATGTCTTTTGCATGTTTAGGGCCTTGACCAGCCATGAAGAACAGAAGATATATGTGTTCCACACATTTTCATAGCATGGCACAGTACTTGGATTTGGAGGGGGCCTCTGGAAGGTCTGTGGTCAACCTCCCTGCTCAAATCAGGGTGACCTTCACAGCTAGATCCACTTTTGAAATACAACAGGTTGCTCAGGACAGAAGCATCCAAAAAATGCCACAGTTTGTGCAGTAGTTCACTCAGAATGACATGAAGAAGGGGGCCCACAGTTGACTTCAGATGATTTTAACTGTCACAGATATGTTTTGCCAGCAGTTTTTGGAGTGGCTATCCCTGCTAGAGTGGAGACTGAGGCAGACAAAGCTTCAGGTGGCAAATGTAGTCTTCCACTCCCAGCTTGCAGAAAGTGCCTAAGGCTTCATTCTGCCATGAGTGATGTTCCTCTGTCCTGCAAATGTGCTGTATTGGAGGAGCTGTGCCATCAAGTAGAAGGAGTTCCTGGAAGAAGTGAGCAGGTTGCACAACATCAGAGAAGATGAAAGGGGGATTGATGGGATCTTCTCTGTGATCCAACAACTTGAAGACCCTCAGACCCCAACTGTAGGAGAGAAGCTGGCAGTATCCATACCCCACTGATGAGGTACATGTAACCTCTGTATGAAGGGAAGGATGGAAGCTGATTACCTCTGGTACCAAGAGAAAGTCTCCTACCCCACCTAGAGGCTTGTATCTACAACATAGGTTCACTGCCCTCAGTGTTGAAGAGAAGTCAGGTATCCCTACAAGCAAAGAATCTTATCCCCCTAACCCATGCAAGATCACCAGGAAGAAATGACAAGTCGTTGTAATGGGTGACTCCCTATTACAGGGGACAGAGACACCCATTTGACTTATCAACTAGAGAGATTTGCTGCTTACCAGGAGTCCAGTTCCAGGATATTGTGGAGGTACTGCTGAATCTCACCCAGCCCTCTGAATACTACCCCCTCCTGTTTTTCCATGTAAGCAAAAATGATACTTCCAGGGGAAATATCTGGCAGAGATCTGGGGAAAATAGTCAAGGGCATGGAGTCCAGGTGGTTTTCTCTTCAATCCTCCCGGTGATGGGAAAGGTTGTGAGGAGGAGGACACTGATAGTACAGGTCAATAATTGACTATAGACCTGGTGCTGGTGACAGGGTTTGAGAGCATGGGACCCTGTTTGCAGATCAGCATCTGTTTGGGAGAGATGGGATCCAGCTCATGAACTGGAGCAAAGCTATTTTTTTTCCAGTAGGATGGCTAACCTCATAAGGAGGGCTTTAAACCAAGCATGAGAAGGGAGGGAGAAAGTAACCAGCAACCCTGTGATGGACAGGGTTGTCAAGAAAAGGGCATGGGGTGATATGACCATGAGGGATCACAAAAGCAACTAAATGGGGCTTAAGCAAGATCACCTATAGCTTTGCATGTAAGCAAGGAACTGACTACAAGGCACCAATATGGAGAAAAGCCCTAAACCCATTCTGGGATTCCAGCATTCCAGGGAACCTCTCTGAGGTGCCTATATACTAATGCAAGGACCATGGTGAATAAGCATGATCAGTAAGAGCTGTATGAAGTTGCAGGGCTATGATCTTGTTGGGGTCACAGATATGTGGTGATTGGGTCCCAAGACTAGAGTGATGCAATGGAGGGATACAGGCTCTTTAGGAAAGACAGGATGGGAAAATGAGGAGGGGATGTAGTCACTTATGTGAGAGAGAAGCTGGAATGCATGGAGCTCTGCCTGAAGATAGATGAGGAGCCAACTGAGAGCTTACATGTATGTTAAGGGGAGGACAGGTAAAGGTGACATTATAATTGGTGTGTGCTGCAGGCCACCTGACCAGGAAGAACAAGAAGATGAGGCCCTCAACATACATACAGGAGAAGCCTCATGTTCACAGGCCCTGATCCTCATGGGGAACTTTAACCACCCTGATGTCTACTGGAGGAACACAGCAGGACAGAAACAATCCAAGAGGTTTCTGGAGTGTGTTGGCAATAACTTCCTCCTCCAAGTGATAGATGAGCCTACAAGGAGAGGTGATCTGCTGGACCTCATACTCACCAAAAATGAGGGCCTTGTTGGGAATGTGAAGGTCACAAGCAGCCTTGGCTGCAGTGACTCTAAGATGGTGGTTCAGAATCCTGAGGGCAAGGGAGGAGGGTGTAAGCAAACCCTGGACTTCAGGAGAGCAGACTTCAAAGATCTGTTTGGACAAATCCCATGGGTTAAGGACCTGTAGGGAAGAGGGACCTAAACAGGCTGGTTAACCAGCCTGTTAATTCAAGACTCACTTCCTCTAGAGTAGTCCATCCCAATGAATGAGAAGTCAGGCAAAAATGCCAGGAGGCTCAAACACATAAAGGAAACACACAGATGAAGGAAGTAAGGATAGGTAACCCGGGAAGCATACAGAGATATTGTCCAAGCATCCAGGGATGAAGTTAGGAAAGCTAAAGACTAAATAGAATTGAATCTGGCCAGGGATATCAAAGACAGCAGGAAGGGTTTCTGTAAGTACATCAACAACAAAAGGAAAATTAGGGAAAATGTTGTCCCACTGCTGAGTAACATGGGAAACCTGGTTACACAGAAAATGGGAAAGGCTGAGGTACTGAATGCCTTCTTTGCCTCAGCTTTTACCAGCAAATTGAATGCTGCAATCGTCTGCTCTGCTGCAGAACATGGCTACATCAGAGCTGGTTATATCAACTACATTATTATTGCTACATTAGGAAAATTTGTAAACAGAGTACCTGTCCAAAAAGTATGTTTTAGCTGTTGAGAATTTTAGCTCAACAGCTGATCACATCTGCCGTACTCAAGTGTAACAACTATTTACTTGGTGTCCTGAGGAATACTTAGTGTCCTGAGGAATACCTAAATTATATTTACTATATGAACAACCTTGTAGATCATCTTCTGTGTGATCACTGCAACACAGCACAGTCTTCTGTCAGGATGTCCTGAAAAGAGTTCATACTAGGAACCTCTTAACAGAGACTCATGTTGAACTATATTTGATCAAATGACACACTAGTGTCCTTTTAGATTCCAGTTGATGACTGTGCACTACAGTGCTGGTAATATTAGCTGGCTTTAATCAGATTTTCAGTGTACAATAAAGTACATAGGCACACATAAGAACCTTTCCACATTTGAAACAGGCCATATATATCTATATATCCATATATAGATACATATATAAACATATATAACATATCCATTTGTTAATAAAAATGTGCAAGTATTTACACACAATTCATTTTTGTGTTTCGTGAACAGTGTAACTCACTAAACAGGGTATTGGTAGGCCAGTAGGATATACTCTTGATTCTCTAGAAAGTGCAAGTGCTTAACTGTGTGTTAAACAGCATAGCAAACTAATATCTGAGATGCCATTCAAAATATAAGCATAGCGTCATTTACTTCCATCTCTCTAATTTAGATATCCTTGAAAACATGCATTAAACAAATGCTTACAGATTATACATACTTCTTCATTCCTTGATAATTAAGTAATGATGTAAACTGTTCAGTAAATCATAACATTGTGAGGACCAGACAGCAAACCTGCAGTGTCATTTGTGAGGTTTAGGACATTTAAATAAGAATTTTGCAGTATGATTTGCTCTGTCTTCTGTATTTAGGAGCGCTAGAGACCAAATCCTTTGCTACTTCTTTATTTTGCTATTCCAGAATAGGTTAATCTTACAAGCTTAAATTCCCATTCTGTCATGGCATGGGGTCCTTCCACATTTCCCATGAAGCTGCTTTACATATTTTACATGCCAGAAGCATGAATAACATTGGTATAAATGCTAAAGGCAGAATAAATCTCTTTTTCTATCTGTGAAAGCATCTGAATGCATACTAGAGGTTTACTAAAGTCAGCAAGAGTTAAATACATGCTGAAAAGTTAAGTTAAGCAAGAAAATATTTCTCTTTGCTGAACTGTGAGCTCTGTTGTAAAATGGAAAAATTATACTCAACCCTTTGAGAATAATTCTCTGTGGTATAATGCTTCATACTTTGAAGAAATGAGATTTAAGGTATAATTTCAGTGTGTCACAATCTCTTTCTGGGGCATGTATGTATCTTTTAAGCAAAAGCAATCCTTTTCTGATTTTAATGAGTTTACCAGTGTCTGAATTAACAAAATGAGGAAATAAGAATGAGACAATTATATTTTTAACATAACTTACTAAGAATGTTAATTTCCTCCAAATATTTCTTCTATTTCCAGATTTTTTTCAGTTTAAAGAAATAAAAATGTAGCCTCTTTTATGAATTTGTCATTAATATTTTTAATAGTCTATATTTCTATGTAGAAAACTATTCCCAAAATGTTAATTATAAGTTTAAATATTCTGTATAATAGATTTTATGTACTAGATTAAAAAAAAAGTAATAGTCTTCATATGTAAATATGTAATGTTTATCAAAATGCATTGCTTCTTGATCAGATTACTGCTTTGTTCTAAACACTAGATGATACAGATATCTGCAGGTATGTATGAGAATGTCAATGACAGTTATGAATACTATTTTTTGATCAACAGATATTTCCTGGACTGATTCTGTCAGACATTAAGCCTGCCAAAAGAATGAAGTTCAAGACAGTCTGCTATCTGCTTGTTCAGCTCATGCACTGTCGTAAGATGTTCAAAGCAGAGATCCCTTTCTCCAATGTCATGACGTGTGAGGATGACGATAAGGTAATTCATATGGACTCTAAGTATCGGTTTCAGGGTCACATAAAGCAGACCTGCTCTGAGTATTTGTGGGATGGCCTGGCCAGCTGCTTCATGTGTTCCTGCTGCGGCTAGAGCTATCTAATGACCACAGCAATGGGAAATACATGCAGCCATCTCACACTAAAGACAAAACTTAATTATACCAGGTCTTACATTTGGAGCTCCTCTTGAATAAACCAGCACAGGTGTCTTACATGGCTTTTATTAAGGCCTTCTTTCAAAGGAATTAGAGATTCTGAGGCTATTTATGCAATTACTAAGAGCTGCTCTTTTGCATCACGAGTCCACCCACAGTCTGACACTGATAGCAGCAGATGCAAAATAAGAACATAATTTTATATCTCTAGGTGGTTCTCTAAAAAGCAAAAAACTGCGTAGTAAACAAAACCCTTTAAGTCCCTAATACAAATATTCAAGTCCCTAATTATCAAATACAGTTTTCTTGCTTTTGAATATATTTTAATGCCATAGCTCATGATTATTTTATATGCTAGTAGACCCTGGTGTACTATCAGAAATTTATGGAGAAAAAAAAAACATTTGAAGACTTGCTCTTTCTATTTTCTTTGCCGGCAGGTGGCAATATTGTATATGCTGCTCTACCAGTGCTCCAAAGCAAGAAACGTGTGCATTGGAAATCAGCAATTCATTTTGTATTTGACTGCTCCACTTCTTGTTTTATTTTTTTAATTATTATTATATGAATTATGTGCAGTTACTGAAGATTCAATCTAAATCTTACTTAAAGAAAGAATTATAACTTTTCTAGTTTGTATTTTACATGCGCATGGGGGAAAAAGAGAGAAAATCCTGTTAGCTCCTTTAAAACACAATTTCAGTGAAGAATTTCAGAAACTCCAGATTCACTTTTGAAATAGGCTGATACAGGGACTTCGGTATGGCTTTTCAGTTGTAAATTAGTGCTTTTTTTTTTAGAGTATTTTTAAAAAGGCAACACACATAGTCTTTGAAACATATGCAGTTCTCTACAATGATTCTAATGTGTATGTATGTATAAATACTGTAGTATACACAGAAAATCCAGATATGGTTTTCCCAGGGTTCAGATGTGTTATTCTTGTTGTTGTATTTTTTTGTTTTGTTTGCTTGTTTGTTTTTCATGTGAGAACATATACAGTGAAGTTCTGAAATGCTTTCTCTATCTGAACCAGCTATTCCATATTCCAAGCTTTTGTACCTGATACACTTTTAACATGGAGTATGATACATGTTTTTAATATTAACGCACTGTGTTGCAATCCAGGGTTTCTTCAGAGCTATCAGTCCTCTAATCAGTTAAAGCAAGGTTTGTCTATAAAGGCTTTGAAGTCAACACACTACTGCAGTATGTATTTAATTATTTCTGAGTAATATAAATAGAATCATAGAATATTCTGAGTTGGAAGGGACCCACAAGGTCCAACTCCTGGCTCCACCCAAAAATCAGACCATGAGTAGTGCTATGACCCTGTCCTTGGGAAGCCTGTTTGAGTGCCTGACCACCCTCTCAGCGAAGAACATTTTTCTGATATCCAACCTGAATTGTAAGATGTAATATCACAAGTGCAGCTCCACTTGCATAAGAGGGCACAGCTGTGGTTATGCAACCCCATGCCATGCACAAGGCATTCCCACATACTCCCAGCCTGCCCCAGAGGCCTCCTCCACCATCTAAATAGGAGACCAGGCAGTGTGCTCAGGCACTGTTCTCTGGACTGTTCACACTGCTGAAGTGCTAGCTTGCACCTTGCTCTGCTTTGAACTACCCTGTGTAGATGTCTCCAAGACAGACTTATGGCCTGGTTCGTGACTCTCTTTTATTTAGGATTTATAGATAAAAATATTGTCATTAACAGTCTGGGCAAACATAGGTACATACATACACACCAGCCCAAGAGACAGGCTTATTCTTGATCATAGATAATACATCATATAACTTTACTGTATGAAATAATAACAGAAGAAAAAATAAGAGACTTAAGTAATTATCTGTGAGCAACACCTAATTTGACTTAGCACAGTAACTTTGACCCTATTTTAGAGTAATAGTTAACAGTGTTTATTTCATTGTCTACTCCCATTTAAAATTTTGAAGCAAAGAAGCATTTTTAAATTATTTTTATTTTTCTTAAAGAAAGCTGTTTTGCTCATCCCTATGTGCTCATCCCTGTGGTTTAAATTCAAATTATTAAAAATTCCAGCAGATATTTTTGCCTCACCTTAAGCAATACATATGTTAACTTTTTTATCTTTATGAACAGCAAAACTGTTAATTCCTGGCAATATTCCCTGACAGCACATAGTTTCCATATAAACTTCTGGGAGAGCTGGTAGATTTTGGCCTGTTTGAAAGGTGTTCTGCAACAGAACAAATTTATGGTTAGAAATATTTAGAATAGTTGTATGACTCTCAAATTAAGATTTCTGTTATGGTTAAATAAAAGCAGAGGATTGGATTTGAAAGCTCCAATCCACATATGTCCATACAGTTAATTTTCATGATGAAATAGCTACTTCTTGCACCACATTCAGCTTCATAAGTAATAGGATCTGATAGTTTGAAGAAAAATATTTCAATTTGTTATTATATAAAATATTTTTTATTTTTCATAATTGATTAATAAACTACTCTCTACATATGGAGACAACAAAACAGGACTACAGTTGTAGTCCACTGTTTGTTCAATGATGAGGATCTTACAACTACTTTTTGTGGAGTAAGACAGGAAAATGCCATTCCTACAGAATTACTTAAATAATGAGCACCACCTCTTTTTGCCATCTGGTTTAGAAGGATTTATTTTTGTAATATATCCTTTAAAGAGTGGGCTATTAAGTATTGACTGCTCTGAAGAGAGAAATTTATAACAGCTTGCTGACAGACTCTACTGATTATAAACTGAGCCAATGGAGTCCTTTTCCCTGACCAAACTCATCATTTCCTAATGTGTTGAATACTCTTCCTGAACTCCGCAGATGTTAAATAATACACATATATAATATTATGTATATATATATAATATAATGTGTATATTATATTACATTTATATTACATTATATATATTATATAATTATATGTATATATTATATTATTTGTATTTTAAAAGTTCAACTTTAGTGAGCTGGGCTGTCAAAACCCATTTGGAAAGTGAGGCTTGACCCTTTCTAAGCTGAAAAGAATACTCAATACTTTATTCTTCATGCTAATTGTTCAACATGCTAATTATTATATGACTGGGTTGTGGGTTTTTGTTTGTTTGTTTGTTTGTTTGTTTGCTTGTTTTGCAAGATTGGCCTACATCTTTATCACTGTATGTTAAAAAATTATGAAGTTACAAGTCTGTTTTGTGAAAGCCCTGATCCTTTCAGTGTGTGCTGACACATGGACAGTCATACTAGTGCAGATCTAACCATAGTGGCTTGAATTGCAATGCCCTCAACTGAAGGTTAGCACCATTGTAGCTGAGATGCTGCTCACCATCTCTGTGAGTGTTCTAAACTCTCTCTGTGAGACACATTGTCTAAAATTCCTTTCAGATATGCTCTGCAATAAAGCTTTTGCACTGACAAGGACTTTGAGGGATCATCTTTCCTGTTATGCTATGTCAGCCTTGAAGGTATGAACCCCAGTGAGGAGCAGTTTAGCTCTGATAATTTATTAAACTGCTCCATCCAGATGTGCAAGTGGCCTAAAAGTGCATACTAAAGAGATCTTAACAAGAGAGCTCTCGTGTGAGTTACAAATAGGAAAATCTGGGATTTCTGATCCTCCAAAGTCGTATATGGTCATCATGCAAGAAGTAATGGAAAAATTTATTTCCAAATATATGTTGACACCTTGGTGGTCTTGGCCAGTAGGACTTTTCTTGTGTCATGAAGAGCATGGCTGTCATGTCTTTAAGATGTGCAGGGCTCTGTGTCTTTCATTAAGATAAAACTTCTAACGATTTTGCTAGGTAAAGTGACTTTGGGATCAAACTGTTTATCTCTTCAGTGGAAAAGAAGTCTCAGGAGAGTATGTAAAGAAGATTTCTGCTGATGAGGATTGAAATCCTGGAACACAGTGGGAATATGATCATCAATTCTAAAGAGATCAGGATTTCACCTAAAAAGTTTTTTTTTGTAGTTGTTTTTCTTAATGAATTCCTCATATTGACTGTAAACTTGGGATAATATGAACACAATAAATGTCAATGTTAATAAAAGTCTGTGATTTTTTCTTAATTTCTGCTACAGAGGAGAGCTTTAAGGACAGCCTCTGAAAAACTCAGGAATCGTTCCTCTTTTTCTACCAATGTCGTATACAACACTCCTGGAACTCGAGTAAACAGATACATCAGCCGTTTGATAGAAGCCCGTCAAACTGAGTCTGAGATGGCTGACTTGAACTTCATTACCCTGAAATATAAACAAATTGAGCGTGAAAATAAAGTAAGTGTTTTTAAAATTATTTTTACTGATTTCATTGACTGTGAGCCAACTAGCATTTGTTGTTGTTGTTGTTGTTGTTGTTTTAGACAATATTTAAATTCTACTCACTATCTTTAAATAATCTGATGGATTATCTTTTAGCTAAGAAGGCCAAATTATCTCCACCTTCTATGGAAGCACTTGGAAGGGAGAAGAAAGATCAGTATCTTTCTACTCATCAAGCTCCTCATGCTGTCTCATGGTGATGTGGCTGCCTACTTACTCATTGGCTATGAGAAGGCATTAATGGAAGGCAGGATGCTTCCCTCTGCATATGTAGCCTCTTATCACAGAATTTCTAGGTTGGAAGAGACCTCAAGATCATCGAGTCCAACCTCTGACCTAACGCTAACAGTCCCCACTAAACCATATCCCTAAGCTCTACATCTAAACATCTTTTAAAGACTTCCAGGGATGGTGACTCCACCACCTCCCTGGGCAGCCTGTTCCAGTGCCTAACAACCCTTTCAGTAAAGAAGTTCTTCCTAACATCTAACCTAAAACTCCCCTGGCACAACTTAAGCCCATTCCCCCTCGTCGTGTCACCAGGCACGTGGAGAACAGGCCAACCCCCACCTCACTACAGCCTCCTTTAAGGTATCTGTAGAGAGCGATAAGGTCGCCCCTGAGCCTCCTCTTCTCCAGGCTGAACAAGCCCAGCTCCTTCAGCCTGCTCCTCATAGGACTTGTTCTCCAGGCCCCTCACCAGCTTCAGTCGCCCTTCTCTGGACCCGCTCAAGCACCTCGATGTCCTTCTTGTAGCGAGGGGCCCAAAACTGAACACAGTACTCGAGGTGCGGCCTCACCAGAGCCGAGTACAGGGGGACGATCACCTCCCTAGCCCTGCTGGTCACACTGGTTCTGATACAAGCCAGGATGCCGTTGGCCTTCTTGGCCACCTGAGCACACTGCTGGCTCATATTCAGCCGACTGTCCACCATCACTCCCAGGTCCTTCTCTGCCTGGCAGCTCTCCAACCACTCATCTCCCAGCCTGTAGCTCTGCTTGGGGTTATTGCGCCCCAGGTGGAGGACCCGGCACTTGGCCGTGTTGAACTGATGTGGATTGATCCAATCCATTCTATAAAACAAAGAAAAGCTTAAATCTCTGGGCAAGGTTATGACCTCATACCAGTATAACTGTGCTGAAAGTGGTGGACTTCTTCCAGAAGCACATAAATACATATATAGGAAGAGTTATCAAAGTAGAACTGTTTGTTCCTACCTTGTATGTTTTTATTATTATTATTATTATTGTTTTGTTTCAAAAAATAGAAACATTTGGTTTATTTGTTTGGTTTTGTTTTTTTTAAGAAAAGGCAAAAGTAATACAGTTTCGGATTAGTTTGGTGGTAACATTTAATTCATTTTTCCACTGCAAGTCACATCATAGTCTAAGATACTCTGTGAGTACTATTTCAAGATAGAAGTCTGTGTGCCCCATTGGACCCATTTTTTATTTATTTTTTAATGTCTTGAGCCTTATCTTTGATTTCAGGTTCCCATAGTGTTTATTATTTGATTTTGTTTGCTTTTGAAGTAAGAACTTTATTTTGCATATGGCAGGTGAAGTTTACTGAAGGAAGGGAATGTTTCGATTCAACTGTATGGTGTCTTTTGGGAATATTTAGAACTTTAAAATTATCTTTCATATGTTTAGTTTTGCTCTTGTTTGTTTGTTTGTTTTTTCCTTTAAATTGCAACACAAGGTTTAAAAAATCCAAAACTTCCTGGAACTGACTTTTTGTTTGTTTGTCTGTTGTGTTGTTGTTTTTTAATTCAATTAATGTGTTTTTCCAGGCTGCTCTGTATTTCACACTTGTATATGTTTCAAATTAGACATGAGAATAGCCATTATGACAGTAATGTGTATATTTTATAATCTTAAACTAAATGCTGTAAACTCTGTCCCCTGAGAAAATACTGTATCTTGCAAGATGCAGTATATTATTCCTATACTAGCATCACAGGGTTAGAGTATGTGGAATCATGGCTTCAATTTCCTTTGATTTTAACTGGCATGTGTGTATCTCTACTGAACTGCTTGCTTTCTGAGGTTATAATCACATCCTAGTCACGAGTGTTTTTGTGTAAATTTAGTGTTACTCTAACAGATAGAACTGAATTCTAGCTTTTTATGATATAAATAAGGTTGAAATTTGGATCTTTCTGACAAAACTCTTCTGTTGTAAGGACTGTAGCTGGAATCAGGGACAATAATTGCTGAAAACAGAACCTAGTCTCCCAGTAGCACTTGCCTCCAGCCTACCCATCAGTGTCCTATCCTGAGTGTTTGAGGTGACAACGCTCCTTGAAGGCAGCACCAAAGGGTGGAGGAAGGAAGGAGTTCCTTCTCCTTCTGCTTCGAAATGACTGGCTCATTTTTGTACCACAAGATAAACTTATGCCTGGGTCTAATGCAGATTTGACTAATTTGAGGGTGAAAACTAAACAGTTAGGCCAACAAACAACTGAAAGAAGGCTATCAAGCAAGATCTTGCATAGACCTGCCTCATTCATTTTTTGTGAGAATTAAACAACAATTATTTGTATTTTTGCAAAGTGGGAAGAGACTTGTTCTATTTTAGTTTATAGCTCTTTCTTGCTGAGAATGGTTAATTGTGGGTGGCAGGGTTTGTATAAAACGCTCACTGTCTTCATTTCCTCCTTTTTCTAACAGTACCACCAGCTTCAGGATGAATACTTCACCAGTGCTGTAGTTCTCTCACTAATTCTAGCTGCCTTATTTGGCCTTGTCTACCTTTTAATAATACCACAGTAAGTTTCTGTCTTTTGCTATTATAATTCGAAGTTGAACATCTTCAAGCATCCTGCACAAAATCAAAACATTCCTGTCTCTGAAAATGACACCAAGGCCAGTAGCTGCTCAAACAGGGGATTGTCTGTTGATCTTTCCTCAGACTGTTATCTCATCTATTTATCTAAATGATCCATGACATAGAATCATTGAATGGCTTGGGCTGGCAGGGACCTTGAAAATCATCTAGTTCCAACCCCCCTGCCATGGGCAAGGACACCTACTGCTAGACCAGATTGCCCAAAGTCGGCCTTAAACTCTTCCTGGTATGGGGCATCCAAAATTTCAACGTCATTGATACCTTATTTAAAATGGTTTCTTCCCTGGTCTCTTTTGGTTTTGATGTTTTCTTTTCTTTTGTTTTGTTTTCTTTGTTTGTGGAAAGATTTATTTGGAAGTTGAAAAGACCAAAATCTGCTAAAGATTTTTAATTTAAAGGTTTTCTACACTGCAGACACAGATGTTACAGCAGCTTTTCTAAATTTGTGTCGGCTTTGAACTAGCCACTTGCAGTCTGGGCTGCACTAAGGCAGATATAACCAAATACTGTGGTTGAGGGGAGGGGTGTTGGTACTTATTGTTAAGTGATATAATATAGTGATTAATTCAAGTTTTGCCAGTTCTATGTAAATGCTTACTAAAGAAAAAAATATTAGATGTCATTTTCAAATCGACAAGTTATAAGTAGATGTGATTGTTTCCAAGTTATAAAAAAAAAAAAAAAATAGTATTTTTTTTTAAGATGAGAATATCTAAACATTGAAAATAAGCTTCACTCACTTTTACTAATTATTAGGATTTCAGTGGAAATAGAACTGGCCACAGAGTAATTTTTTTGAAAATCCAATTTAAATCCAATCTTTCCTTTTCACAAATCTCTAGTCAGAACAATGCTTACTCTTATATGGTTCTATTGTTTCTAACTGAAAGTTTGAAAGTAATCTTTTTTACTTTGATAAGTCACCATATAATTTTTAATGTGATACCTGTCACCTGAAGAATTCAAAATCACTTACAAAAATCATGTTGTTTCCATACTAACAACCTCTGTTGACTGACTGGAGCACAGTTGAAAACACCTTCACCTACTTCTGAAGTAAGGCCCAGCTGCATTACACAGCAATTTAAAGCAAAGATAGACAGAGCATTAGTGTCATTGAAAGTAGAATGAGTTTCCAAGAATTGTGTGCTATGGTAGTTGCTAACATTTACAAAAAGTAGGAATCACTTTAAAAAGAGATAGACAGATATTCAGCGTAAGCTCTTGTATAACACATGCGGAAACTCCAGACATAACTACTGCATGCCAGGAAAATGGACTGGTTCATCGCTGGGCCAGTTAGAAAAGCCTCTTACTGAACAGTCGCAAATTCTCTCTTCCAGTGTGTCTGTGAGCAGTGGCTTTAGACAGCAAAACTACAAGCTTGCCCTGGCTCTTTCCTTGCTGTGACACTAATGCAACCATGAGCTAGACTAAAACTCTGGAAGTATCAGAAGATTTCTCATCTCCACAAAACTTGGAGTTCTAAACTACTCACTTGCCAAAAGTACTTGTAAATATGACTAGGAATGCAAAAGCCAAGAGAAGACATGTCACGTGTTACTACAGTGGAATAGGTGATAATAATGGTGTTTGACATGTATCACAGTATTCCAAGAAGGAAGTTCAAAATCTAAAGACAATTGTTGTAAGATAGTCACTTGCTGCGTAAAAACATAAATGCAATAGGCTTGACATTTTCACAATTTCTGTGTTCATCTCAGCAAAACAGCTAAGGACACAATTATATCCCTAGTTGGGGTTGGTGGAAGAAAGTCTATGTTTCTGTTGACTTTAGCTGTTCAGTTATGGATGCACACATATAGCATAACCACTAAAAACCTTGATTATGAACCTTGCTAATATCTTATGCTGGGTTGAATTATAAACAAAAAGAAAAGCAAAAACAGCAGTGTAACCCTTTGTTACTGGTGCCAATCCAAATATCTGTCAGGGTCCCACTCAGCACTTGTTGTCTGTTGCTGCCTTGAAAGACATTGTTGCAGTCCCCTGCATCTTCTTCTTGCATGTTATATCCTAAATACAAGACAGTTATCTTAAAATGTAGGGGAGTCTGCTATCTATTAGTACTTGTATTTAGAATCCACATTATGACATCATCTAGAGTTCCTTCTTGGTTCTAAATAAACATACTATACAACAGCATTTTCCCTGTCTGGGTATTGATAAATTCTTACATAAATATGAATATGAAATCAAAATCAAATGTTGAGATGTTTTACTACAGAATAGTGCTGTTTTTCTTCTACTGTTACAAGAAAACATAAATTTTTCAAGATTAAGGGCAACAGATATGTTGTTTTCACAAGACTAGAAAGGAGGGTATGAAGATCATTCTATGTTGCTTTTATATGGCCTTGTTCCATGGCTGGCATGGGGCCAAGCTGCACTTGAACATAAATCAAAGCACCAGCTCTGGTGGATTCATTTTTGCTAGGTTGCTCACATCTATAAAGTACTGTTCCAATAACACTGGCTTGCTGGAGGATGGAAGCTCTTGGCCTGTATCCCTCTTCTCATGAAGAACACACCTGTTTTGAAAGACCAGAAGAAGGAAGATTAAGTCTTAATTATAAGACTTACTACAGCATCTTTGCAAAAGCTAAGATTTTTCTTACCATTTGAGAAAAAAAAAATTAAAAGAAGGGAATTGCTCTGTGTCAATAGAAGTGAGTGCTGTCCATTCGGATTTTATTTGACCTGTCCATTCTGATTTTATTTGACTTGATAAGTAACAGGCTTGACTGGCCTCTGATTTCAGAATCTTTGAGAAGGAGAGATTAGAAGGGAAAAGCACCAGGTAGCTGTTACACAGCTGTCAAGGCAAAATAATTGGATTGCACTCTCCACTTTCCATATCATCCTGTATTAGTCTAAAATTAGGAAGTGTCTCTCCTGACACCCTGTAAGGGTGACTTTTTTAGATGATTTGGTCTCCTTGCTGTGGTCAGAGTGGGTACTATGTACAGGAATGTTTACTGATTTCTCATCCTTGAGAGAAGTGTATTTCACTGTGAGCTTTTCCCTGCAATGGTTAGCTTTACAGTAAGGGTGAGGGAAGAGATCCTCCAGCACTCATCCAACACCATTTCAGAAGGACGCCTGTGCTGTTTGTTCTCATATCTACTACTAAGTTGGGTTGAATTACTTTTACTGTATTTTGCTTTTAGGAGTACCATAGTCCTTGTCCTCCTGGTGTTCTGCATATGCTTCCTAGTTGCTTGTATAATGTACCTACATGTCACACGAGTACAAGTAAGTGATTTAAGAATATTTTATCATTCCTTCTTTTACTGGCTATGCTTTGTTTGTGTTTTGGACTATGAAGCCGTCAATGCACACTTGATAGCATCAGAGTCTGAAATCTGTGTGCTTTTCAAGCTCATTGCTAAGTAACATATTAGGCACTCCAAATCATACAAAATGTTTCACTTGAATGTGGACCTAAAGGTATCCATGAGTAATTTTTGAAGCAGTATAGCATTCAGTGCCATTAATGCTATTTATTTTTGTTTCTTTGTTTTCTTCTTTGCTACATCTTCACTGAGTACCTATCACTGTCTGAATCATTCCAGTGCCCAGATGAACGGCTGCTTTCATCCGGCATTTTCTCTTTTCTGACAATGAAGCATGCTATTTTACCTTCCATTGCAATTGGTATCTAAATATAAAGTGCTGCTAACTTCCCCCGTGTTTTTAAAAGATTTCTTGTCAAAGCGTCAACTACTTTGATGCTAACATACAATGTTTTGCACATGCAACCTTTGGCTTTTTCAAGAACTTTAGAAATTATTAATCCTCCTGCATTACATTTTCACAACAGTAATAATGAAGAAGGACAGTTAGCTGTTGTAGGCAAGAATAAGATCAGCCAGATCAGAATAAGACATCTAAAGACTAATTTTCTGATGAAAGACAATTTTAGTGGTTTAAACCATTTTTAAAGACATTAATTAGGAGAAAATATACAGTTAATCAGCAGCAATTAACACACTGATTTTTTAGTTGAAAATATGCCCTTTGGCAGGAAGAAAGAAATTGTTTTCATGGAAACATAAATAGTATATTAGCAGAGTATCTGGTACAGAGCAGATTTTTTTATAGACCTACACATTTTTAGGGGAGTAATTTTGATGATCTCCTTTGTTTCATAAAGGCACAGTAGTCTAACATGTGTTGTTCTGTGTATGAACAGTAAACACAGATGAGTTTGTAGGAAATTGCTCCTCTTTATGCCATTTCCCTGGAACGAGCACAAACTTAAGGTTAGTTCCAGCAGTCCACAGGATTTGAACTTCAGATTCCCCTCAAGATCCAGTATTTTACAGGACCAAATCCAGTATTAGAAAAATAAAAATACATAAAAATTCTGAATAGAACAGTTTGAAATTTTGTGGAGAAGTTTTGTCTTGTATAATGAATAAAAGTTAACTAATATACTATGTATAATGAATATAGAATTATGAACTGGGCACTCTGTAAATTGGTATTCTGGCATTTATTTGCTATTTTACATTTGACAAGTGACTTTTGCATCTCACTCATAAAATCACTATAATAATGTTGAACTGTACTGGTTACCTAGTATTTAGGAGATCTGACAGTAAATCTTTAGTTAATAAAAATCCCACAAATGAAACAAAGGAAATGAAACACAAAATGCTTTATTGTGATGAAAGAGCAAATTTCAAAATGACCAAAAGTCAGAAATATAAAGCTTTTATGTGACAGTCAGAACTTTCATTCAGACATCTTACACATTACCTTTTAAAGTTTTATTTGCCTTTTTAACCTAGTAGCCTACCATGTCATCAATTATAACATATATAACACACACACACGAAAAAAAAAAGTCTATGCAAATGGGTCAGGACCCACTGATTTTGAATCTGTGTTTTGCTTTGTCGTTATTAACCATGCAGCATTATCTTTAGACTATGGGAATTCCCAGCATTTTATTATTACTGTTTTGACCACTGTAACTGATTCCATTGCAAACTGAATTAATGATACATATATTTATATATTTCTTTTATATGAAATCATTATAAAGGTATTTTATTTGTGTGAATAAAAATACAATTCTTGCCTCCTGTATGCATAAATTTTGGTCTAGATGGGTGGACACCTTGATGGGTAAACAAACAGTCTGGATGATCAGATTCAGAGTATAGTGGTTAACAGGTCACACTCTACCTTGAAAGCAGTAATATACCAGAATATTTTATTGATGCTGACTAATACTTAAACTGTATTCAGGTGTGACAAATTAACTCATGCCCATCCTATTCTTACCCAAATTTACTATTTATATTACATCAAATGTTCCCCATTTATGCTTATGTGTGCTGAATCCACACTGAAGCCAACATGTACTCTCAGATCACACGGGGGTTTTATTTTTTCTGTAATCATTGTATTTTCATGTTTTGCAGCCCAAATGAAGTTGATTCATCTATAACTGTATCAGACTTTGAATTCTGTGTTCACATATACAGAGGAAATACCTCTCCATATGTAAAAGGAAGGCAAAACATTTAATTACATAATTTCTGTTGTGCCGAGGCCACAAAAGCTCCTCTGTGGGTACTATGGTGCCTGCTGGAAACTATGCTTTTGCTGTTGGTGATGAGTTGAACATCTTTAATTCAGGAATTGTGACTTTCATTCAAAAATTATGTTTTTGCTTGTTTAATTTATCTTAAGCCAAATCCAGTCTCAGCCCACTCCTTTTAAGGGACACAGGATTGTTCCTACTCTGTAAACTTGATTCTTTCATACACTTGATTTTTGCCCCTTGAAAGGAAGGGGCAAATGGAGGAATGGAGGAAGTTCCATGGTCTGAAATAAGTATTGTGGATCCCCTAAATAATAGATGTCTCAAATGTTCTCAGTGCAAAGGGAAAAGAAGGAAAGTATCTTTTGGTGAAAACAAAGTGGATCTCTACATGTGGTGGTTTCACGTTGAGGGCTATCCAAGCTCCACCAAACCAATCTTTCACTCCCTCTCCTCAAGAAAACAGGGTGAGAAAACATGATGAAAAAAAGCTCAAGGGTTGAGATAAGAACAAGGAGATCCCTCACCCATTACTATCACAGGCAAAACAGACTCAGCATAGGGAGAATAATGTTATTTATTGCCTATTGCTAAGAAGAAACAAAAAGCAAACTAAAAACACCTTCCACTGCTATCTCTCTACCTCTATATATCTATATACCTCTAAATACCTCTGCATATCTCTACCTCCTCCCCCTGAGCAGCACCAGTGAATGGGGAATGGGGGCTGTGGTCAGTCCATAATGCTTCATCATCTGCCACTCTTTAATGGTCAGTCTCTGCCTCTGTTCCAATGTGGGGTCCTTCCCACATACAGTCCTTCCCAAACTGATCCTATATGGGCTTCTCACAGGCTGCAGTTCTTCAAGAACTGCTTCAATATGGGTCTATATCACAGAGTGAAGCCATTCAGGAACGGATTGCTTAGGTTCCCCATGGACTTCATCTCCTGCCAGACCACCTGCTCCTGCTCCTCCATGGGCTGCAGTTCTGGCCCGAAGTCTGCTCCTGAGTGGAATCTCCAGGGGCCGCAGCTTCCTTCAGGCTGCTTACACCTGCTGCAACATGGGGTCCTTCATGGGCTGCAGCATGAAGATCTGCTCTGCTGTAGTACACCACAGGCAGCAGTTGGACAGCCTACTCCATCATGGGCTTCTGCAGAGTCTGCAGGGGAACTTGTACTCTGGCAACTGAAGCAACTCCTCACCTTCTTGGTCACTGACCTTGGTGTCTGCAGGGTTGTTTTTCACTCTCTCCCATCTGCTGTTGCACAGCAGTTTGTTTGTTTGTTTGTTTTTCTCTTCCTTAAATCTGCTCTTGCAGAGGTGCAACCAATGTCACACACTGGCTCAGAGCTGGCCGGTGGTAGGTTCGTTTTGGAGCTGGCTGGAACTGGCTCTTATCTAACATGAGGCAGCTTCTGGACTCTTCTCACAGAGGCCACTACTCCTCCCCCCACATCAAATACTCTGCCACATAAGCCCAGTACAGCTGAAACAATCATAAGTACTACACGCTAACAGACTTGTTGCTTCTCTCACACTTTTTGTCACTCATTTCATGTATGCTCCACAGCAGTGAGCACTTCATACTTCAGTGTTGGAATTGGGGTAAAAATGGAGATGAGCAAGAGATTCACAAGACGCCATTCCACTAAACATTTTTGTTCTCTGCTGCTCTTTCTGCTCTGACAAATTCAATATTTTAAATGTGTCCTTATAATTAAAACTATCCTGGCATTTAATGTGACTATTATAGTAGAAGACACAAATAGCGCTGAAAGATTCCTTGCTACCATAGTATGTTCTCTTGAATCACTATTTGTAGCTGATAATTTACAAGGCAATATGTGTTTTGAGGATATTCCCTATGGGAAAAAAGTCAAATGCCATCATAGATTACTGTTTGCATTATGAGCAAGCAGCCTACTAACCTTTCAAAGAGTTTTAATTATAATAAGAAATAATATATCATAATAACAATTTCAAATGTATTACACCCAAACGCAATTATCATTAAAACACGTATACACAATTATAACTGCATGCTTGTTTCATAATTTACACTGCAGGAAAAATTCTCATACCACTTTGTTCACTGTAAAAAGGTTACTAAACAATAGTTAAACGTGTTTTAAAATATATTTTTTTAAATGGTTATCTATAAATCTTTTTTTCTCTTCCTTAGTGTTTTCCAGGGTGCCTGACAATACAAATTCGTACCATTTTGTGTATTTTTATTGTGATATTAATATACTCTGTGGCTCAAGGATGTGTGGTGAGTATTTAAATCAAATATTGCCTAATTTAATATTATGTTTAAGAACAACCTGTTACATATACCATTAAACACATACCATGTTATGGTGTAGTGGACTCCTACTTTTTTGATTATTCATGCACACAGAGCATGTTTCCTCAAAATTAAAGACCTTTGCCATAATTTGAACTCTGCTGATTATATGATCCACTGAAGCTTCTCCTGTATGATATGAATTTGCTCAATACTTCAGAAAATTGAGCTTCTTTTACAGCTAGTTCTACATGGTGGACTTGAATGTCAGATGGGATTTAAATTTACACCTAAGTATTTGGCATTTAGTTGCCTTGTTGAATTCCCAGCACTCAATTTTGCCATTTTGGCTGCTAATGCTTGTGTGCACCCAAGCAAAAGAATCCACACAAAAATAGCATGCTAAACACAAATGGAAATGATGAGGAGGTAGAGGTCTCAAATCCTGCCTCTCTCTGAGATTTAAGCAGTGTGTTCTAAGCAGTAGGAAAACAGTGATTTCATAATTCACAGTACTGACTGAGATGCCACATACCTTATTTTATATGTTTTTGTTTTTTTAAAAAAATTCACTTTTCCCTGGACCTCCTCTGAGAAAATCAGTTTGATCCCCAATGAACTGAATAGGCAGAAGATCCTTGTCTTGATCCAATGTCCTGAGACGTACCAAGATTTCCTGATGTTCAGACATTTCTGGGAATTCTAACATCAACTGTGTGAATAAAAGCACAGACATATATGAGATTCCTAATGTGCCTATAAGCCTGAAGAGATGTGTAGTGCCTGTAGGCTAGCTAGCATCTCAGCAAGACGTCTGTATGTCTGACTTTTGAATTTAGAAGAATATTATGTCAGCTGGAACCTTTGTAAATCAGCCTCAAACACCTGATTGTTTGACCAAGTGAAACCATTGCCATTTTTACTGCTTACAGATGGTGAAAATGAAATGCAGAACTTATAATACCTAGAGCATCCTCAAACATCAGTGGAGGAAGACAGATTAGAATTTAGTTCTGGCCTCCAAGAAGGGTCATCCAATTACAACTTACAAATGCATATAGCTTTATCCTTTATTGAAGCAGAAAGAGCCTGTAACCACTGAAATGCTTAGAAGTGTTTAATGAGTAGAAACCATTAGTTCCTGCAAAATAATGCCTCCAGATTTCTCAGCTAGCAGAGAAGCTAGGTGTTGAGATTTTACTTAGTTAAGAGCACATAATGTTTTCCTGGAAGGATTGCGCATCATGTACAAAGTTCTCGTGCAAGTCTGTGTTTTCAGATGACTGTAGTAGCCTTTTCAAGAAGGACATCAAACAAAATCACATAGAAACAATTTTTCACCTCAGTCTCTATAATTTCATAATGTTAGCCATTATGAGTTTAACTTACATTTTATCTGTTATGTCTCATCTTTCTGAATTACTACAATCCCCTGTAAAATATATAGCTTAATAACCTTTCAGATTGTCAGTTATTTTACAGCATGCTATAAAATTTCATTGTGAGTGGTCAGGATAAAATAAAAGGGTCTAATAACACACTTCAAAAGAGAAGTTTAAGTACAGGGCAAGGCTTATGTGGCAGTGCCTGTTAAAATCAGTATCATACTACAGTCCCACTCTCCCTGTTTATGTTAACTCTAATCCTCTACCGTAGTAAGGGATGAATGTTGGAGTGCAGTTAAGTCTGGAGCTCTAGGGAGTTGCACTGTTTCACAGCAATTCCTCCCTTCCTTGCCTTCCTTGTCTGAAAGAGATCTGTATATGACATTGCCTTTGGAAGAATCTGATTAAACTTCCTCATGTTTACCATGGGAAATTCACCAAAACTTCCCCACACCCCCCAGCCAAGAGAGGAAATAGAGCTCTTCAGATAACTGAAATGGTATGGATAAATAAAGACAAGATGTTGTATTTGAATAATATGTGATAACAAAATTAGCTCAGAGGTGGAGAAAATATATTATTCATTCTTAGCTTTTCAAACAGAGATTAAAATATCTTTTATTTTATATTTAATTGATTAATTGAAATTGATAAAGCTTACATAGTTTATAAACAAACACATTTATTTCTGGGTTGTGTGCGAGAGCATTTCTAACCCAAATAACCACATACAAGGTTTACTGAAGTTCATAAGCCTTTCAGGTTGGCTTGAGAATCTCTTGGTTTTGAGCACTGAGAGGGAAACTATTCAACTAATCCCTGACTTTAATTAGTTGGACCTGCTGGCATCTAATGAACAAAGCTCGTCTCCCACCTCAAACTGAATAAAGCATTCGAGGAAAAGGAGAGAGATTTTATTATAGCAGTGAGATGGCTGGGAACTCCATAACAATTTCTTCCCAATTATAAATTAACTACTGTCAGTGCCCACAGCAGCTGTATTTCTGTTTATTTCACATTTAACTTACTTTCTTCCTTTTCCCTTCTCGTATTTTTTCCAGGTTGGCTGCATGCCTTGGGTTTGGAATACCAATTCCAGCAGTTCAATAGTTATCATTTCTCCTGGTGGAACAAATAAAACGATGAATGAACTTCCATGTGACACAGCCCACTATGCTTTTCTTTCCTGTGTAGTGGGGACTCTCACCTTGGCAATATTTCTACGTGTATCTTCCTTGCCAAAAATGATTCTCCTGCTTTTTGTTACAATTTTGTACATAGTTATTCTGGAACTCAGTGGTTATAGAAAAGCAGTGGGGTAGGTATCCTGCAAAGTTAAAGCAATGCACATTTCATTATAGATAGTCATTACATTTACTATTCATTTGTGAATTGTGCTTGAGCATTCAATGCTGCTTAAGGCCTTATACTCTGTAGAACATGAGAAATACTTAAGCCATCCTTTCTCCAGCAACTGTAGGATCTAGTAATACCAATCATCAGTATATAAGCTTTGGGGAACTAGCAATTGTTGCTCTATTATTCTGAAGTTTTATCCTACCATACCTCAGCTCTTTATGCTGCAGTATAATTGAAATATGAAACAGAAAAAAAAAAAAAAAACTCTTAAAAACTTCACTTTCATATTTCAGCACCCGTCAACCAATTCCAACTGTATTTAAGCTTTTGAATTTTGAGGGGTTTTGTATTTTCTAAATAAAATAATGCACACATATTACGATAACGTATGTCATAAAGTCCTGAAGAAGTTGAATGTTGGTGTGATGCAGTCATAGTACTGTCATGTAGCACCCTACCAGTATAAGCCTTTTCAGAAAAGGCTAGTGATTAGGCAGTACCCACAGGTCCCAAACTAAAGATTTTATATTAAAAATATAGATTATTTGCTATTAGAAAACCTGGAATAATCCATTTATTTTCCTTTTATTTTTAAGGGGTGGTTCCTTTTATATGCGTGGCTATGAACCAATACTAGCTATTTTGCTGTTTTCTTGTGCTTTGGCACTGCATTCCAGACAGGTGGACTTGAAGCTACGTCTGGACTACCTCTGGGCTGTGCAAGTAAGTCATAGGATTTCTAGTACTCATGTACATGGAATTATGTCTAACTTTATGAAACTGCTTACAAGTACTTTCAGAAAAATCAGTAGAACTAAGACAGTCAAAATCTTTCATGTCTGTTGGGGTTTACAAAGAAAAGTTATTAAAACCTTCTTTCCAGAGATGTATAAATTTCACTTGTTTTGTAGAAGTGATTTTTTGTTTGCAATTGCTCTAAAACAACATATCATTAGCGAAGTAATATATCTAAGGTACATTATGAATGCACGCTAGATTTCAAATGTGGGAAAATTACTGCTACCAGTATAAACTTGAGATAAAGAAAATAAATCCATGTTTGCTCATTTTTATTATTATTATTATTATTTAAATAAACTTACGTAGATACCCCCATGGGGCTTTTTTTTTTTTTTTTTGAAAATGCATTTCTTAACTATCATATTCACAGGAAAAAAATATAGAAATTATATTAGCTATAAGCAGAAGTGTCAGGAAAAGTCTGCTTCCCCTCACTCCCCAGCACTCCTATGCCTACTTCCAAAGTGTGTCACACTGACCCCTGAAGGAAAGAGGAAGTTGAAGAAGATGTAAGTTTGGTTTGATGGAATTTGGAAGTTGTCATTATGATAGATCTTACACTTTTACACTCCTGTATTTCATACAGGTTACTACCTGTTCACACCTACATGCTGTTAACTATGTTAATTGTCATAGGTGACTCCCTTCTGAGAGGAACAGAGGACCCCATAAGTCAGCAAGGCCCTAACCATAGGAAGTCTGCTGCCTCCCTAGGGCCTGGGTCAAGGCCATTACCAGGACACTTCCTGGCCTGGTTTTCCCCTCCGATTATTATCCATTACTGATGATTCAGGCTGGCAGCGATGAAATCATTGAGAGAAGCCTGAAGGCTATCTAAAGGGACTTCAGGGGATTGGTGTTGTTAGTAGATAGAACAGGAGTACAGGTGGTGTTTTCATCTATCCCTTCATGGCAAGGAGGCATACTGACAGGACCCAGAAAACACAGCTGATAAATACATGGCTGAGAGTTTTGGGCCCTTCACTACAGAAAAGACATCAAGGCCCTGGTGTGTGTCCATGGAAGGGCTACAAAGCTGCTGAAGGGCCTGGAACACAAGTCCTATGAGGAGCGGCTGAGGGAACTAGGGTTGTTTAGTCTGGAGAAGAGGAGGTTCAGTGGAGACCTTATTGCTCTCTACAGCTACCTGAAAGGAAGTCGTGGGGAGCTGGGGGTTAGCTTCTTCTCATAAATAACTAGCGAGAGGACAAGAGGGAATGGCCTCAAGTTGCACCAGGGGATGTTCAGGTTGGAAATTATGAGACATTTATTCTCAGAAAGAGTGGCTTTGGAACAGGTTGCCCAGGGAGGCGGTGTAGTCACCATCCCTGAGGGTGTTTAAGGAAAAGTTGGATGTGATCCTTAGGAAGATGTTTTATTGGGCAATGCTGGTGGTAAGGATATGGTTGGACCAGATGATCTTGCAGGTCTTTTCCAACCTTAATTATTCTATGATTCTACGATGCTATGATTCTATGTTGTTACGGGAACTGTCTAAATCATTTGAGTGCTTGCTTTTACATGTAAGATCAAGACTGCAACACATGGGTTAAACACATCCATGGCATTACTGTGCTACTTAGAATGGAGAAATCAAGAATGACTTAGCTCTATTTTCTTCTACTCATAAAGTTTTTCTACCTAGCAGTTAAGTTCTGTTGGGAGTTTTTGTTTGTCTCAATGTCCAAAACCATGTCTACCTCTGTGTTTTACTTACATATTTGAGTGTTTTTTATTTATCATTTAGTTATTATTTGAGTAAGCTTTAAATTATTTAAAGCTTACTCAAAAATTTAAAATTTTATCTATTTAAATTATAGAACTTTTGTCAAGTTCTATAATTGCTGAGGACTCCATGTTGTTTAACTGAGTCTAGAATGCATGACCACTTCATTTTATTATTTTTTTATGACCCCAGTATCTATATGTGCTATGCCTGTCAGACTCCAAAATTTGTTTTGGACCAAATAGTCTGTGTTTGTTGTGGTGCCAACTATAATTTCCAAGAGGAAAAAAATATCCCCTGACTTTGATACTCAGAGTAGCACATGACTAGCTAGCTGGACAGCAGCCGTCTTCATATTCTCTTGCACATAGTGGAGGTGTGTGAGTGCCGTATGATCCATAGTTCTTGGTTCTCCATGGAAGATTTATTTAATGTACAATAAATAATAATGTATATCATGTCTTAATTCATGTCTTAATGAATGTTGACCTGGTTTTCACTCCAAGGGCTATTTAACAACATGCAGAGGTACCACTGTGATGGCTATTACAGAAGTGTTTATAGTGTTTACCTTTCCAGATGGGTGAGCAAATAAATAAATAAATAAATATTTGTATTTATTAGCATAATAAAAATCTGAGTATTAAAAGCTCTGGGAAAATTGTTGGTAGGAAATAGTATGTGTTAAAATTGCCTTTGAATAATAGGCAGACTCTAAACTACTAATTGTTTAACAACCATTAAGAAGAGACAAGGGAAAAAAACATCTTCAGTGATGGTTCTCCTCAGCTCCTGGACTGCAGGAGTCCTGTACATGGTTTAACAGCATTCTTGGTCATGTTTCCCTGTGGCTGAAGTATTATTTTTTCATTAAATATTAGGCTTAACTTGGTTATCTTCTCAGTAGCAGAATTTTTAGAAAATTGTTCACATAAATGCACATGATCTTCAGAGATTTTCTTCCATTTTACAGGGTGAGTGTAGTGGTTCGTTGTGCAAACACTGAATTGCATGAACTACTAATAGAGCTGGAGATTCACATATCCCAGTTGCCAGCCAGTGCAGTGTGAAAGACCTGAGATAACATGGTGCAAGTTTAGGAAGTTCTGCTGGTGCTAGCTCATGATTGGAAGAACTTCAGACTCCAGGGCTATTCTGGAAGTTCGCATATTTTTAGTAATCTGATTGCAGTGCTAATCCTGTAATAAATAAATAAATAAATAAATAAAATCTCTGATGAATAAAACAATTAGTGGCATACAGCTGCAATAGAAAGGCTTTTGTCAATATTTTTTTGATTTACTTCATCATGAACCACAAACAGACTAGTACTAACTAAATGATATTTTAAAACTGAAAGTATCCTGCAAATTATGACATTATTAAGAAGAATATATTGTTAGATTCCCAGTGATCTATGCTAATATTAGAGGAAAGCACCAAACTGTGTTTTGAGAAAAAGCAGACAAGCAAAGCTGACTTTTAAAACTGCATTTATGAGAAAAGTTAATCTAATGCAAATGCATCTGTTACATAACAAGAACAGAAGTAATGCAGCAAGTTTTAGGTATACTATGTGAAAAACAAATGAACAAACAAAAGAAAGCACATTTTCTAACTGATAATGAGTCAGTAAAACATTTATATTGTACTTACTGTTCACATGTCATTGGTCATACAGGTTCTTTTTGGTTTTGTTCACTTTTTTCTGTGTCAAATTTCACTTTTCTGAATATCACAGTATTTTCAGAAACAATTATTTTATTTTATTTTTTTAAACAGGCAATGGGAAGATAATTTTGGTTTTTACATAACACCGTTGAGAAACTTTATGTGCCTCATATGACAATAGCTGTAAATAGCAAATATAAGAGCATTTCCCTTATTTATGACTCTTAATCACTTTTTCATATATAAATGAATCAACAAAGCTAAAAATAAAAAATAAATACAACAAAAAGTTTATGAGGAAGCTAAAACTGACACAAATGTGTTTTTTTTTATCCAGGATTTGTAACAAGAGGAAAGTAAAAATAATGCTATTATGTTACTGATTGTTGCATTCTTTAGGGAATACTAGAATATCATTTACCTATCTTTTCTAATGTGTTACACCTGTAAGAAATATGTATTCTATGATTGGCAGGCAAGACTTGCCATGTGTACATACACTTTGCGTCCAAAAATCCTGTCCTGCAGACACTGTGATGGGTCTGTTCTCTGTGGTTTTAGTGCCACCTTCAGGTACAAGGATCATGTTTCTGGAGCACCAGTGCCCAATTTCTTTTTAGCTGTATCCTGAAAAAGTGGATTTCCATGTGATAACTAGTCAGTTGGTGGCATTACTACTGCATTTTTATGCCTATTAAATAGCCATCTGAGAGCTCAAGTGATAAAACAGTACAGACATGTACTGAACAGATATGTAATGAGTTACCAGCAATGTATATGCTGTGGGATGCTGTGTGACTGCATAAAATGTGATAACTGCTTATTATATTGGTGTGAAATGCCATAGTACCAAAGAACATTCTAAATTTTTTCACCAGATGTGAAGAAAAAACAAAGCTTCCTTTTAAATACTGCATCTTTTCAAATACAGTTAAAGTCTGCAAAATGACCTAGGTGCCACGAATACCAAACAGGTATACAAAAAGTAGCATGTTGAAAATGATATCACTCATGCCTATGGATTTTGTTTATTTTTTATATTGTCACAATAATCTATCTTGTTTTTTGAACCAGCAGCTACTGTGTGAATATCATGGTAGCAGCTTTCCTTAATGAGCCAACAGGAACAGGGACAAATACATGAAGATTTGGTTGCTATTTAGCTGCCTGAATAATATTTCCACCAAGAATGTAAACACCTGTGATCTGTGTTATTTTATTCTTTCTGCAGCCTCAAGTTCTCCTCCCTTTGCAATGTCTATTTTGCCTGGGAAAGGGTGATGCCTATACATCCTTTTATCTCAGCTACTCAAAGAGTAGCTTTGAGCTCAGGAGTTCATGAGTCACAAGGAGAGAAGAAAATTTTCATTTGCATTTCCCTGAAAGGCAGAAAACAGGAAGATCAAAAAAGGTCCAGAAAATATGTCATTGGTTTGCTTTCCTCCTCAGAGGGCTGTGTGATAGAAAGTGAAAATCAGAATGTAGGGCTCAAAGCACCTCTCAGAACAAGGAGCAAATAATGTTGTGGAAGAGTTTAAGAAGGATTAGGCTGGAATTTGCAAACCTAGGAGTTCCAAAATGAGATTTCTATATAGTTAGTATTTTTCAGATAAAGGATCTGATTTTTAGAATTGCTTCCTTATGTGTGGCCCTCACTGGCTCCTGTGACCAAAGTCACTTAAAATAAGACACAAGAACCTTGAGTAAAATAAGACACAAGACCTTAGCTGTGTTAACTCTTAGACACTTTCTTAATGCTGTCATTCTCATGAATTGTAGAATCTCTGTTGTGCACAGGAATTGTGTATGTATTCATGACAAATACTGTTGTAATTAAAGACAGCCGTAGAAATAATTATTTTTACATTAAAATATATATTAGTTTTTAAATTGCCTTTCACTCTTGAGGATGTCCAAATATAAAACAGTTTTCTCTGTTAAATCTGTTTTACCAGGTCAGTTTCTATTTTACTGCAAAGTGTCATAGATTTGCTTTAAACACTGGTGATTCTCTAGGCTTCCCTTTTTTGAAAGGTGGTTCAGATAGTGCTGTCAGTATTTCTACCTACCTAAAAAAGAAGTAATTCACCTCTAATGTCAATGTGACTTAAGGGGAATTATTAATAGCTTTTTAAGAGTGCTCATTTAAAGAGCAGAGGTCCATGTGAGACACCAATACACAGTTGATTAAGCCCTGAAAGTAGTCATCAGCCTAGTGACTTTAGAATTAGTAAGAACTTAAAGGTAAAAAACCCCTGATGCTACTGTTCTCACTCTACTTCATAGAAATTGTTTCGCTCAGTTTAATTTCAAAGTATGTTTTTGATGGTTTCAGTTAATTTTTCTTTTTTACATTTTGGAAAAGATTTTCTTTTCCTTTATCCCTACAGGCAGAAGAAGAGAGAGATGATATGGAGAGAGTCAAACTGGATAATAAACGAATTCTCTTCAATCTGTTGCCAGCACATGTCGCACAGCACTTTCTTATGTCTAATCCAAGGAATATGGTAAACCAAGATAAGATTTAAATGTATGGTAATGTTGTATAAATGTGACCATTTGCAGCTTGGGTCAACTTTCAACTGTATGCTTTCAAGAAAAGCTTGGACTTATAAAATTGCATTCAAATTAAAATAAATGGGTTTGTAAATACTTGTATGCAGGAATTAGATCAGGATTATTTCTTTCTCTGTATTGTCCTCTTTCTCTGAAGAATTTTAAGAAAAAGCAGGATAAGGGAATTCTGTATTATTCAACATCAATGCAGCTGAGTGTCTGCATGCAAATCAAAAATTTATTTTTCAATTAAATTAGAGGATTGGAATTTATCCGAGTATTTCATGAGCTCAGTTTGGTTCTGAGTGGTGAGGTGTGTGAATTGCCAGAAGCTTCCATTTGAACCACTCTAGTTCTGTAAATACACCATATTACCAAACTCAGCCTTTAAAAGTAAAAACAGAATTTTACTCATCCAGAGAGGCTACAGTAGCTTTTAACCTCAAAGTCCACAGTGATGAAGTGAACACTGGTTCAAGAAGACATTACCACATTTTTTCTAGAGCAGCTGCAATAACTGCAGCAATTGTGGCCATAATAACCACAATACTGCTCTTCTAAATTATGAGTCTCTGTGCTTTGGAGTTTGGACCAATATATTTAAACTGCAGAACAGCAATTATACTTCTGTTAGCTCTCTGAATTCTTAAATAGGAGCTTTACCAGGCAGAATAAGATTATATTGCTAATGCTGAATACAGGACTCTGCAACTCAGGGAAAGAGATGAAAAAGCAAGGCTGCTGGTTTTGTGCTGCAGGGTAAGACTGTCCTATTTTAACCATAAAACAGAACTGAGAAAATGCAATGGTATTTCTCACACAATAAAAGAAGTTCTAAAACTGTTCAGACTTTCTATGAATTTTTCAGTCACTTCATCCCTACACAGGGAAAAGAGACTACATTTTGTTGTTGTTGTTGTTTGTTTGTTTTAAATGGCTTTAATAGCTTAGGTTTTACTTTTATGCTGTGGATTTTTTTTAAGGGAAGAGATATTGCATTTATTTATTTATATTCAATAGGAGTGTCTCTCTCTCTACCCAAACTGATGGCTTTTGTCCTAGCTATCCAGGCAACTGCTCTTGCTGCTTAGCACTAGAATAGGTATCATAATAATGATGTCTGTTTTAGATTAAACTTTTTAAACAAAAAATATATCTGTTCATGTACTGCAGGACCTTTATTACCAGTCATATTCACAAGTGGGAGTGATGTTTGCTTCCATCCCAAATTTCAATGATTTCTACATTGAACTGGATGGCAATAATATGGGAGTGGAGTGTTTACGCCTGCTAAATGAAATTATTGCTGATTTTGATGAGGTAAGGTCTAAATGATTTGTATTTTGATCATATCAGTTCTACCAAACTTCTATCAACAGAGGTTTTTTGTAAAAATTCAACATATTTTGAACTGTTTAATAAAACAGTACTATATTGAAAATCAACTGGGCCTCTCTCCAAAGTGCCTGTTTTGTACATTTGAGGACATGAATCTGACTTCAAATTCCTTTACTTTAAGAAATGTATTAAAATGCAAGTCAGTGGTATTTTCTTGTTTGTTTGTTTGCTTGTTTTTCTTTAAATGACCACAAAGATAGCAAGCCTCAACTTACCAAACATAATATGGTTTAATCAAGTTGCACATTGTTTGTTAACTATGGTTGCTTGTCTAAAATATTATGTAATATTTAACAGTTTTATGTTTTAAACAAAGCTTATGGACAAAGAGTATTATAAGGACATAGAAAAGATCAAGACAATTGGAAGTACATATATGGCAGCTGTGGGACTTGTACCTACTTCAGGAACTAAGGTAAGAAGATTTTATATGACAGTCAATGTGGTGGAACTGTTCTTGTTCAGTCTTCAGAGGAACACCAGGAATACAACCAACTCAGTGTGATTACAGATAGCTTGTTTTATTTCTTTACAACAACTTAAATCTGAAATTCAAATAACATCATTAGCTTGAAAAGAAAAATTGCTATCCTAGCAACTTCTCACATGCCTGCATTTGCATTTGATTGTCTGCAAATCTGGATTCTTTGTAAAGAATCTGTGTAAAAAGCTCCTAAGTCAGAATGGTAGTATTTTAAACCCAGAATCTATTTACTAGATTTGTATGCAGCATCTGGAAAAACAGAATCCCCTGGCAGAATACCAAATATATTGTGTTCAAATTAATAATTACATTTAAAAGGCATAATGTATTAATAAACTATTAATAAAATTAATTATACAAGCAATATAATGAACACATGAAGGCAACCCATACATTCAGATTTCCCAGAATCTCCTGAGACCTCTTCCCTATTCATAGAATCATAGTATCATAGAATGGTTTGGATTGGAAGGAACCTCAAAGATCATCTATTTCTAACCCCTTTGACCAGGTTGCTCAAAGCCCCATCCAACCTGGCCTTGAACACTTCCAGGGTTGGGGTATCCATGACTTCTCTGGGCAACCTGTTCCAATACCTCACCATCTTCATCATGAAGAATTTCTGCCTTATATCTAAACCTGCCCTCTTTTAGTTTAAAACTGTTACCCGTTGTCTGATCACTGTTAGATCAGATAGAGTTTCAATGTAAAAAATGTTTCAAAACCCTGATAGAGTTTCTCCTCATCTTTCCTGTAGGGCCCCTTTTAAATACTGAAAGGCCTCTCTAGAGCCTTCTCATTTCTAAACTAAATAACCCCAGATTTCTCAGCCTTTCTTCATAAGAGAGGTTTTCCAGCCCTCTGATCATCTTCATGACCCTCTTCTGGACCCACTGTAACACATCTATATCTTATCTGTGTGCCAGAGCTGAACGCAGTACTCCAGGTGGGGTCTCATGAAAGCAGAATAGAGGGAGAGAATCACCTCCTTTGACCTGTTACATACAATCTCTTTGATGCAGCCCAGGATATAGTTGGCTTTCTGGGCTGCAAGCACACAGTGTGTCATCTGCAAACTTGTTGATGGTGCATTCAAATCCACTGCCCATGTTGCTGACAAAGATGTTAAATAGTACTGCAAATGCTTTGCAGAACTCATGCATATGGTTTAAAATTTTAAAAATAACACTGAATTAGAGGGTAAAAGCAAAATGAGGCAGAAGATGGCCTGTAAATTTTCTAAGAACAACCAACAGCATTAAATGAATAAATAAGGCAACATTGAAATCAACTATTAGAATCACAGTGGAGTGTATCACAACTTACTTTCTGGTCTGCAAGGTGCTTTATTTATTTACTTATTTATTTATTTATTTTAATTTTTCCTAGAGTAGAAATCTGGACATTATAAAAAGACATTTTTAAATGTTGAGTTTATGCTGAAAATGTTTGACTCCTGGTTCCTGAGGAAGGCAGAAAATTCTTTGAATTTTGTTCCGTATGATCTCATACAAACAGGCAAAGGCATACTTTGTGTCTGGTATAAATGCTCTTTGAACTATAATCCTGAAAACACGTGTGTTATTGCTTAACTTCAGTAGCATATGTTCCAAAACCTAAACATGTTTATCTCTTGTATTTTATAGTTGCTAACTGAAGGGTCAGCTGAGTTAGTCCAGTACTAAAGGTACTGCTCTGAGCTTATCATATTAACGTATTTTAAATCGCTGCAGATGGTCTTGTACAGGACCCTGGGTTTTCCTGAAATCTTGGGGCAAATTTTGATCTTTTCTGTACAGGTAGAATTTATTTAACATTCCAAACTCTCAAAAATTTAAAGATCTTTTGTGATCACAGATAATATTTTCATTTGTAACTTGGGTTTTCAATTCTTCTGTGATATTTTCTGTGATGCAAGTGGGCAGGAATTGTTCATGTCCTCTTGGCAATTTCCTGCTAGGTCTTCAGCATGCAGCCATTTATTAGAAGTATGATGATCCTGGGTAGCCTACCATGTCCAGACAATCACTGCCCTGTCCACACAGTCCCTGGACTGCCCTACAGAGCCAGATATGTCCACTGTAAGCCATACCAGACTCAAGTGCTTCTGGTCTCCCCTCTGCGAGGGGTATACCAGCTTCATAAGAAAATCTGATGCAGCCTCTAATTGTGTGCCATGGATTTTGTGCTAGGTTTAGGACATGAGCACAAGTTGTGTATGTGGTTAACTCTGCTCTTAACTGAAAATACTTACACACATAGGAACTCAGTACACTTATAAAGTTAAATATTTTAATCCCATATTTTGCAGGACTTTTTTTTTTTTTCTGCAGCTTGACTTCAGCAGGTGCCTATAGCAAATTCACATTGCCTCTGTCAGGGTGGTTTTGCTGTGACGGTTATGCCAGTCTTTCTATTAACCTTTCTTTGGTTATCTAAATAAATAATTCATTGCTAGTTACAGCATCAGGGCAGCACACTTACCAGGTTCTTTGTAGATCTGCAAAATGTAAGTTCACTGCATGTGTGGAGTCCTTGTAAATTACATCTGTGATTTTACTAGGATCCTGACTTTTTTGTGGTTTTCAGTGCAAGTTCAAAAGAGTGTGGCAGTAATCCTTTTGAGAGACATATGCCATCTATAGTAAATCCTGTATTTGTGACCTGTCATCTCTCCTGCAACCATGAGAGGCAATGCAGGAAATCAAAGTATGCATCAGGCAAGAACACATTGGAAGGAAAAGGAATATAAAGATTAGAGATTTAATAAAAGCATAGACTTCTCTTTGTTCCAGACATTCAGTATTCTTCACCCTCTCTGTTAGAAGTGTAGCCACCAGCTTTTTTATCTTTAAACTTAATTCCTATTCTTTGTCTTTATGAGGCTGGAAAAGAGTGGAGCTAGCTGACATTGCAAGAAACGTGTAAAGAAAACTATCCTTCCAAAAAACTGGGACTTGCCCAAGTTTTTCATTTTAATCATTTTTTGATTGTGTTTTCTCTATTTTTTTTAATTTCCCAAACACGTGGAGGACCACTTTCAAATTAAGCTGAGAAAAGCAAATAGCAGCCTGTTTCTCAGGTTTCTGAGGCACAGTCAATTTATAAAATCTCACTATCATGTCAAAAATCCAGTAATCTCTCATCTCATGCCAGCTACCACAGCCATGTTGTGAAACACCATACTGAAGCTAGACAGCCAATGACCCTGTATTTCTTTCACCATATCCTACCTTTAGCCGACTTTCACTTTGTAAATCTGTTCAAGAATTCATATTTATTATTCAAATAAAAGTACAACGTGAGAGCAACAATACTGAGTCAGGTCAAAGGTCCACCCTGGTAACCTATCTTTAATGAACCAACAGTAGATACTGGGGGAAGGGTATGAGTTACAGAGCAAACATGCAAATCTCTGTTTTCTACTTTCTAATGATATGCTGTTTAAGAAATTCTAGATCTACAGATAATATCTATTTACCAGTTCATAGCAAATGTTTCTTCCATTAATTTGTATAAGTATTTTTGAATCTAACTAAACTTTTTGAATCAACAATGTTCTCTGAAAATGAGTTCAACAGTTTAATTAGACTGTAGGTGTAAAAAGTATTTCTTTATGTTTTGTTTTGGGGGGTTCTTCTTCTTTTTCTTTTTCTTTTTCTTTTTCTTTTTCTTTTTCTTTTTCTTTTTCTTTTTCTTTTTCTTTTTCTTTTTCTTTTTCTTTTTCTTTTTTCTTTTTCTTATTTCTTATTTCTTTTTCTCTTTCTTTTTCTTTTTCTCTTTCTTTTCTCTTTTCTCTTTTTATCTTTTTATCTTTTTATCTTGATACTTCATTATTTTATTTGATCCTTTCTGGTTCTTTTGCTGTAGTTCATTTAGGTATGTTTTATAACAAATCACTTCAGCTTGCCTGGAAAGGAAAGAAAATAGAGCTGTTCTGTATCTCGCAGGATTAAACATAACAGGAATTTTGTCAATGGGAACAACATGGACCCATGGAGCTGGGATCTAGCAAAATCCCCAAAGGGAGAAAAGGGCAGAAACTGTAGCTATTAATAATCATCAGGCAAAGTAGTTTTGTAAGAAACCAGGTTATATTCTGTGAAATGCTCACAACAAACATCTGCAGCTCTCTAGCAACAGAACAACTTAACCATGGGAACTGTGCTTTCCATTCTTCCCAGAAATCAGAAAAAAAGAGGAGTGGAAAAGGAAAAAGAAGAGGGAAGGGAAGGGAAGGGAAAGGAAGGGAAGGGAAGGGAAGGGAAGGGAAGGGAAGGGAAGGGAAGGGAAGGGAAGGGAAGGGAAGGGAAGGGAAGTGAAGGGAAGGGAAGGGAAGGGAAGGGAAGGGAAGGGAAGGGAAGGGAAGGGAAGGGAAGGGAAGGGAAGGGAAGGGAGAAAGAATCAGTATTTGAGAAAATAGTGCATATGCTGGAATCATCATCAAAAGTTCCTTTCACGGGCAGCATAATAGGTTAAATTCCTTCCCTAAGCCATCCAACTTGTGCCTTTCATTGTTTTTCATATCGGTATTTCAGCTGCTTCTTAGTACCAAACTAATCTAATGTTTAACACCATTTTGTTTCTAGGCTAAAAAATCAATTTTTTCCCATCTGAGTGCACTGGCAGATTTTGCAATAGAGATGTTTGACGTTCTTGATGAAATCAACTATCAGTCTTACAATGACTTTGTCCTACGAGTAGGTAAGTCACATTCTACAATTATCACACAAGAGGAACACTGTTGTTTTTTAACTTTCCTTGTACTGTCTGGAAAGGACTGCCTGCCCTGAATTCCTGAATAAAACTGAGAAGCCTTCTTGTAGAATGTGCACATCCATGTAGAAGATGAGCAGCATGAATGGTCCTCATCAGTACTAAAGAATTAAACCTGTGTTCAATTCCAGTGTCTAAGTCTACACGCACCTAAAAGGAAACGGCACAAATATTTTTATACAATATTATTAGTGTATCTAATATTGTGGCTTACATTGCTTTGCATTGCTTAACAGGTGCAAACTAATTCCAGCTGTATTTAACTGTTAGGTACTCCAGCATCTGCATAGACATTGTTGGCATTAAAAGTGTGGTGGGAACTTTTCATAAAAATCATAAAATATCCTGAGTTGGAAGAGATCCACAAGAATCACGAAGTTCAACTCTTGTCTCCACACAGTACCTCCCAAAAATCAAACCATATGTCTGAAAATGTTGTCCAAATGCTCCTTGAACTCCAGCAGGCTTGGTGCCCTGACCACTTCCCTGGGGAGCATGTTCCAGTGCCCTACCAACCTCTTGGTGAAGGCTCTTTTCCTAATATGCAATCTGAACCTCCTCTGACGCAATTGCATGCCATTCCCTTGATGATTCTCCCACTTGATTCTCCCACTAATGAGAAGAGATCAGCACCTCCCCCTCCAAATCACCTCAAACAGTCCTTTCTGCCAGGACACAGTTTGAACAAAAAATCTTAATTTATTTCATGGATGGAAGTTTTGAAACAGAAACTTGACCACATGTATAGTCCAGGATTTATAGCAGTAATAGAGATTCAGTGGATGAGCTATACGTATTTGAGTATGTAGATATCTTGTATATATATATATAGAGAGAGAGATTTAATTTTATTAAAATATAAATCAAAACAACTAGCATCTTGATATTTTTCAGTGCACAGGGGAGCTTTGGTGTACAGTTTCAGAAGTTCTACCTTTGCTTTTTATTTTTTTTTTATGCTGTTATTACACAATTTTTTTTCCAGTCTTCACACCTGTCTTGGTGAATAACTGCTGTTTAATCCAACAAAAAAAATTCTCTGGTCTTAACAGCACAGTCCTTCCCATGGAATCCTTTATATGCTATTTCAAGCCTTACCTCTGTGAGTACGTTTTCCCAGCCTGCTTAAGGAGCAAGATTTTCTCTTCCCTTCCTTCCTCCTGTCTCACTGCTCTCCAATGAAAACCAACTAGATAAGGGGAAAAGTGAGGCTACTAATAGCAGGATAGTAGGAAAGACCAAAGACAACAAGGATGGCAGTGGCAGACTTACACATCTTTGACCTTCTGTATATCCTGATAATCAGAAGTCTGAAATTCTTTTTGAACCATGTTACAACTGTTTTTTCCAGGTTCAGAAAGGGGTAGAAGACAAATTTCTAAACCCCATTCTGCTGTATAACTTGCCTGGGAAAGACTTTGCATAGAACATTGTGGAGGATTTCACAATTACAGCTCCTAAAGGGCACTCAGAAAATAGAACATCCCATTTTTTTCTTTCAAACAAGTGTCAAAATCTGTCAGAAATGTAGAAGGAAGCCCAGTGTTTTCCTGAAAAAGATGCTTGAGCTGTTTTCACGTACTGTCTTCTTCTTACAACCTGTTCTGAGTTGTCCTGAGTTGTCTAGTAGTGATAACTACTATGACATGCTTCTCTTACCCCATTCATTGTGTTTTCAAAGCCACTATTTCTGTTCAGCTTGGAAAATCCCCCACTAGAAAGGCTTTGTATGAACAGCCACAGTGGAAGTCATAGCAAACAATTAAAGGTCTTTAAAAAATTTTCTTGAATTTTTCCACAGACAAATTGTGTAGTAACCACTACTTTTCTTCTTTTCTTAAAAAAAAAAAATAAAAATCAACAAATGGGCTATTTTTTTATATTGTTTATCATACTGCATTTCCAATTAGATATCTATGTATATGTCTTTGTTTTGTATCTAAAACTCTTCCAAATTCGAAAGTCCAGTTGTTATTAACATACATTGTGTTCTATGACCAATAGAATTCCAGGACACTTGTGATAAGTCTGTTTTATAAGATCTATGTTTTCCTTCAATAATATGCTGTAGTGTTTGAAACAACTGAAAAAACAAACTCATCATTGTTCTGATTTTAGGTATTAATGTTGGGCCTGTAGTGGCTGGAGTCATTGGAGCCAGAAGACCACAGTACGATATCTGGGGAAACACTGTAAATGTTGCCAGCCGGATGGATAGTACTGGAGTGCAAGGGAAAATTCAGGTGACTGCATTCTAAGATAATTTTACAAACTTAATATAACTGCTGTTTTATGTGTTTACATTTTTAAGACTCCTTAAAAAATGCAGCCTTACTTGATTTTGTGTTTTTTGTTTGTTTGTTTGTTTTTTGTTTTCTGAATAAAGCAAAATTCTCCAGATGAATCAGGAAACAGATATGTAGTTGTTTTCCATGATATGCTTCATTACTTCATAAAATCCAGATAAATTGTTTCCCATCAGAAGAAGCAGGGTTCTCTGCTGCATTGCACTCAGCTGGAGGCAAGCCCAGGAATGCCAACACTGCATGGGGCACCCAGTGTGCTGTAGGAATTTTGCCTGAATAAGGACTACAAGGAAGGGATCTGTGTCCATTTGCATCCTGCTGCATTTTATATGGCTTTAAAAATTCCTCAAATCCTTTGGATTGGAGATGCTACACAGGCAGAATATTGTTTTTCTACTAGAGCTTGGCTAGAAGCAATCCTGCACATCTCAAAATCTCAACGAACTCTTTATCCAAAATACCTGTTTAGACTCCAGGGATCAAAAGGCCTTTTGGAGTAACTTACCATCAGTAGAACTGATCCAGCTTAGAAAAGTGGAGAATCTGACTACATACTTCTGACAGACAGAGCTTAATTTGGCTGTGTAATTATTCATCTTGAGACCAGAATTTCTGCTTCTGAGATTCCAGTTTGGTCAGTGATTTTAAATTCCTTAAGAAAGCTTTTAGTGAGCCCAAGAGCAGCAGTACATGTTAATTCATTCTGCTTATGGGTACTTCACAACAGATAAGTAAAATAGGAAGGGGTTGGCAGTTTTAGGATTGACCTTATATGAACAGAAAAAAATAATGAAAAACTAATATTATTTTTTTTGTTGTTTCTTCTTTTCCCTCTCTTCAGGTTACAGAAGAAGTTCAGCGGATATTAAAGAGGTGCAGTTATGAATTTGTGTGCAGGGGTAAAGTCAGTGTAAAGGGAAAAGGTGAAATGTTGACCTATTTCCTGGAAGGAAAGGCCAATGGAAATAATCCACAAACACGATCTTTAAACTTAGAGCGGAAAATATACCCTTATGGAAAATCAAACATTCAAACAAAACTGGGTACCAGCTGTCCATCAGTGTCCTCAGTTGCTAGCTTTACCGTAAATGCTGGGCTTGGAGCAGTTCAAGCATCTGCCACTCATACAAATCAAACACTGCATTATCTTCCCTCTGTGCCGGCTGTGAAGGAGGCGTAGAGCAAAGGAGATTTGGTTGTGCCATTTGCAGTGAACTTGGAAAGCAATGGTTCCCTGAATTTTTACCAAGAGATCAGAGGTCATATAGGCCATGGCATTAACCAAGGACCACTACAACCCAACCAAAGAGAACTTGGGAACTGTGTAATGAACTCTTGGGATGGAATATATAAGGGCTAGCAATTCTGTTAGAAAAGTCAAAACCTGATTTTCTGGAAATAAGGAATATTTTCTTGACATTTTTAATGGGTAAATGGAAAAAAAAAATGAGATAAACGTGCAAGCAATTATTTATGAGTGTGTGTGTATATATATGTTTTAATTTATATATGCACATATACAAACACTCCTACGTAGAATTAATATAGTTATATATGTATAAAAAAAAAAAAGAAAAACATTAAAATATGTATTTATTTACACATCCACCTACAATGACATAGCAAAGAGATTTCTCTTTCTGTCATAGCCAGCATTGTTGGGTCTGGGATTAGAAAAGCTGCAATTAATTGTGGAGTGTGTGGCAGATGAAGGTTCTCTTGGGCTACAGCAAGAATTAGAAAAACCGTGCTCCCAATGCATGAGTTAAAGCAATGAGAAGTGTTCATTGCACTGTCAGTGGCAGATTAACGAAGGCTGGATTCAGGTAATTGCTAAACCTTATGTATTTTTCAAATTCTACTTGCATGCTCCAAAACTTTGAAGAAATTCCAAGTCAAACAATAACACTAGGTTGTAAAATAGATAAACAACAGAACTTTAATTTTGGCAGAAGAGCAATATGTTTTCTTTTTACATTGGAAAAAAAAAATCCATTGGAGAAAAAAAAAAAAAAAAAGGTGTTAGAGTTTTAAAAGTTGCTAATTCCTCAGAGGTTATCAGATTCTGTGTGAGACAGAAGAGCCACCCCCCAAATAGAGCAATACACTTCAGCAATATAGAAACATTCCTTTATGTATATTGCTGATTTTATCAAAGAGCAGAAGGATGGTATTATGAATTGGATGGCTTTTGTAAACAGCATAGGTCATGTAACTCGGTTCCAGGACTTAGCTATACCTTTCTAAGCTGCTCAAACATGCTGTTGCTAGCTTTGTGCTATTTGTATATTTGCCAGGTCTTATGTCTTAATTGATTTCTAAATTAATGCCATAGTTGTTGTTTTTTTATATCTTGATTCTATCCAGGCTCACTCCTCAAAGCTGTACATTTATAGAAAGCTATAATTCTGAGAAACAAGCACAGTCAAACTTTGCCTAACTGAGGAGCACACTGGTAAACATACCATGAAAGTGAAGGCTGCTCTTAACCTGCATAAAAGGGAATATATTGTGACTTCTTTTTCCTTTAATAGAGCCCACATCCTATCATAAATGGTTTCATTTTGAAACACCAGTCTAGATGTGAAATGCATTGCGTAGGAGGGGGTAGTCTAAGAGTTACCTGGCTGTGGATGACTGGTGACATGCTCCATGAACAGCTGCCATAATGGGGATGCACAATCTAACCAGGCTCACTGCCTTCCAAAAGAGAAGCAAAGCTTCAAATTGTCAAAAAAACATGCAAAGTTTCATTTTAGTCAAAAAAAAAAACAAAAAAAACTGCAGAAGTTGTCAAGATTGTACATTAGGAAACATATATAGTATATTCCACATTTCCTATTTTGTTACTGATTTCAGTGGAAAGAGGATACTGAATGTGGTTCTTCTGCAATCAGCATATGGACAAATTTTGTGTAGACATGTACAAATTGTTAAAGAAAATCTGCAGGAGTTTCTGTTCCCTGTGTAGCTGTGGGACTCCACTGGTTTTCAGCAAGGTTTTACCTGGTATCCTGTCAGCTAGGTGCTTGATTACAAAGATAGCACAAATACTGTTGTGATTAAAACAACTATAAGAAATGTAAATTGTTTCCTGGCTATTGGGTGTATACACTCTGTCTGACCTGTGAAAAGTCAATGCATTTCTTTATATTACTAACAGCTATCCAGTTCACAGGTATTATTTTAGAATTATATAATTCTGTTTTGGTGCCATTCAAAGCCATTTAAATAAATACACATAGAGAACACAAACTTAGAAGAATAAATATTTACAAAATTAAACTGAGTAAAAGGTATCCATGCAAAGTGCACTGCATATTTTAGGTTTTCTAATAGGTTTATAAGAATTAAATCACAATGCAATTAAGTGACATATTTAACCTAAATGGAAACTATTACGTCCAATAGCATTAATCACTCAGTTTCACTCCCAAAGAGACCAAGCCACACAATATTTGTAGCAGTGGACTTGATACAATTTCACTGATAGTAATGAAACTTTTTTTCACATGTCCTGTTATTACAAAGCCGCTTCAGATCATAGTGTAGTACATAACCACATAGACCAAATATAAACATTGATCCACCTTCAAATCTTAAAATGGAAGTATTTATTTCTTACTCTTTTTTTTTTTTTTTTTTTTTTTTTAAACAGGTCCAAAATATAATCATATTGCCATTGTTTCTTTTGTCATTAAATTAACAGTGAGCAGAATGAATTGCTCCCTGTGCTGATATTTTGGGGACTGTTCTTATTCCCAGACTCTTTTCCAGCCTAGTCATGGAGTAATGTCAGTGGAAAATCATGTAGCAAAGAAGATCATGTAGCAAAGGTTCTCCTTTACCTTGGGCAAAGGTTTTCTAAGCCTGATCCTCTTCTCCAACAAATGAATGAGGCAAGTGTCTTTTGTAAGAATATTTTTCATGTTGAATGGAAAGGACCAGATAGGTGCTCTCCATTGGCTATCTACCTGTGGGATCCTTTTGCCTCTGGAGCAAGGTGAGTGCACCAGGATGTCTTTTTGGCACTACAGCTAGTCCAGTTTGTGTGTGCTATCTTAAGCTATCAGTGACGGTGTATTTGAAGTCAGTTTCCAGACTTTCTCCTCATCCTAACATTAATGTTTTTGTTGTGGTTGTTGTTGATTTATCTTTCTTTTAATGGGAAAAACTGTATTTTTTCCTACTACTCATGAAAAAAGTTCAGCCAAGTCACAAATGAGTAAAAAGCCATATGAAAACGATAGGCAGTATTAATCAGACATTCCAGCAGGGGAGTCCAAACATCCATTTAAATCGTGATATAATGAAGCTGTGCTCTTACCTTTATGCTTTCCCTTTTTTTTTGTTCATATAATTTTCCTCCTTTTCCTTTTCTTGTGTATTTTCTTGTTTTATTTCAGATCTTGTATAACAGCTTTAAATGATAGCTATAATGTCTCTGCTCTTATCTAGTAGTAAGATTTCTGATAACCCCATAAATGGATATTTTCTGCCAAATTAGAGAAGTCTGTCATAACTTCTTTTATTGGCTGAAGATCACATGTGGCCAACTCTAATATCTTTACAAATAGTTCTGAGGGATTTGATTTGGACTTACTTTAACAGGTGAAATTGCATTTCCTATCTTGCATTTATTAATTTCCTGGTCAAGTTTTGAAACTGTTGACTAGGTGACCTTGCGGTAGCCCCAGCAAGGAGTCAGTTCTGCTGCACAGTACCCAAAAGTCCCTAACTTTTAACTGAGGGTAGCGACAGGGTGTATTGTAGGTAGAATAGCATCCTGCACTTCTGCAGCTCTTAGCTTGAAATAATTAACAAATATGAGCCCTACAACAATGTGATGCCATTTTGGCATGTTAATGTGTGTCAATAGCAAGCACAATTTTTCACATCAGTTTGCACGTTTTCTCTTTAAGATAATAGTAATAGTTAAAGTTTTGTTCTTTATATAAGGAAATAAGTATCAGAGATGTTCAAACTTACTTCACTGTTTTGGGAGCTAATTTCAAAGTGTTCCTGTGCTACCTTTATCTTTAAATGATTTTTTAATTATTATTCTCTGCTGAGATTAAAAATTAGCATTCAGATGAATTCCTGGCTAGATATTTCCAAACATTTTCCATTCACATTGAGTAGAAACCTGTTTTATCCAGCCTGTAAAATGCATTGTTATTTGTAGATGCTTCCAAATGTAACTAGTTGCACTCTTGTTTTCACTAAAACATATACAAATTATCCATTGCTTTCTCTAGGTGAGACTGAGAGTAAAAAGCTTCAGCTCACAGGGCTGAATCTGCATCACTTATGGGCCCACAAGGCCTGCAGAAATCACCAGGGATTTAGCATGATTACAAAGGTCAAGAGTTGAACTTCTGTAGGCCAAGTTTTGCTTTGGGTTACAGTGATGTCTCACTCTGGAATTGAACCGAAGTCACTATTTTACAGCACTGTAACAGAGTAGATTATAAAAGTCTCTTTCATATTTTTGCCCATAATTTGTCTGTAAGGCAAAAGAAAGTTATTGGGAGCCACTGTTTGAAAGGAAACAGTATATGACCTGTGCCATTTCAGTGCTTTGAGAAATCCAAATACAATAGTAACTAGCTTGAATCATTTTCATGTGTTGAATAAATACCTGCTTGTAGCAGAATCAAAGTATTTTCTCTGCATCAGCAAGTCCAGATTCTGTATGTGTTCTGCCCAGGCAGGATGACTATTTAGCCATAATGTTCTTTCAAGTTAGAGTTTTGTATTACAGTGAAAACCAACATTTTTTTTAATTTGTGATAAACCTGTATTATAATGCCTTATTTATTTTTAATCTTGTACAGTGTTACAAAACAACAGAAAACATTGGCCTTTCATGTACTATTCACTTTAAAAGATGTATTGTGTGAAATTTTGTAAATAGTTTTAGCTTTGACAGGTAATTGCATGTACACTTGTATAAAAAGAGGCAAAAAGGCACACTTTTAACAAATTTTTGTAACAGACATTTTACATGTGCATGGAGACTATAAATCCTTTGGAAATTGATGTCCTTTTGGTTTTCCTTGCAATATACTGCATGCCACTCATGCCTGACTTCAGTAAAAAAAAAAAAAAAAAAAAAAAAGTTTAAAAAGTACAAAACAGTATGTTTTACTAAATATTTTTTACATATCACTTCTGGCACAAAGTTAAATCCACTAGTTGCATGTGTGTTCAGCAAAGCAAAATCTAAATGCAAACAGCAAAATAAGAAGAAAAATAATTTAATGATTGTGATCTGCCAACCTCAGTGTTCCAAGTTCCATAATACAGTATATGAAATGTGTTATCAACATCTATGCTGTTTTTATGAGGTACCTTCTGGTCATTAGAAGCAATAAACTCTACTTACTGTAATACAAAAACCAAGCAGATATTCTAGTTCATAATGATGTAATATCTGACATTCAGTGGGTACTCTGTGATACTGCATTTGATGTGGTATTGTCATCATGCAGGACCAAGTGTCATATACATTATTGCTGTATGCAGGTGCAACACTATGGAAGGTAAAGGGGGTGAATTGGCCCATTGATGTTACCCAGAATAAATTTCTAATATGGTATTAAGTTATTGTATGTGGAAAGTACACAATGTGAATAGATTATTTTACTAGATACATACATATGTATATATATATGTATGTATATATATAAATTCATTTTGTTGCCTTATTTTTGTTAAAAATGTTTTTAGCCATTTTCCAAAAACCTTCTATTGCTAAGCATAAACTATTGAACAGAACTATTAGGAGAAGGTTCACCAGGTATTCTGGCTTTGAGCTGCCTGTGTTCTCCTGTGCTGATGCAACTCCTGCTCCTACTGAAGCCATGCTTACAGGGATGCACCGCTTATATATTACAGCCTGACTCACAGTTTGGGCCCCCTGTCTGGTAGTAGCGTAAGATCAATAAATTAGTAACCAGTCCTCTTAACTGATTTTTCCATATTGCTGCTAAACCAAACTTTAAATTTTGGAAATATTTGGCATACACCATTTTTAAAGTTTTTATATCCATGATACTACAGTTAGGAACTACTTGAATTACTTACAAAAGTGCTGTATGATAAATCAGGAGTATTGTAGGAGCATAACACTGAGGTTGGTGGCAGAGGAAAAGGAGGATGGACTGTGAATACTTTCTATTATGGATTAACAAGGACTTCTTGTATTTTACAGCTAGTTTTATAATAGGACGTAGGAATCTGTTGGTTTGTTTGATTAATCAAGTGATTATGGGATTAACTAGGCAGTACACTTCCTGCAAGCAATTCTGTCATCAGATTGTAGATTATCCCATTCCAGATTATCATATCCCAGTTTGTATGTAAGAACAACTACCTTGTATTGATGATTGGCTTCATACAGCAGTTAAGGGTTTCTAACAGTCATAAACTAACTCATCTCAAATTCAGTGGATTTTACATCTCAGTGTAGCATAACGGTTGTGACTAATGACAATCTGGACTCTGCTTCTCTACCCCAACCCTGTTTATGATTGGCTTTTTCCATAACTCCATATAGGCTTTTATTTATTTATTTATTTATTCTTCTTCGTTCTTCTTAATGCCATCTCTCACAGAGTTTTCAGGCCACTTACTTCTGAGCAAAATTAAATAATGAATAAATAAGTAAATCTAAATAAATAGAAAAACAAGTAAAGGTTAGGTGGGGCCTGCCTATCACTCTTTAATTATGCTTCAAAATGTCAAACTGCTTGGGCCGCCTGGGGTGATCTGTAATCTGACAAATTCAAGGGCCTAAAGAGGGAAAGAAAAAAAAAGCAAAGAGTTAGCAGGTGTCTGTTCACATTCACAAAATTGTTCAAGATCTCTTGCTGAACTGCTTTAAAAATTCCAGACAAAATCATTAGAAATAGTTGGTTGTTACCTTTTATGCCTATTTTCTGATCATGAGGAAGCACTTTGAAATCTGAATTAGCATTGGTTAATATCCATAGCCAATGTGCTGAAGGGACTAGTTTTTACTCGTGCCTTACTACATGCTAGAGGATCTGCTTCTTTATACTGGGATTCCCTGTTTTATGTCTATTGTGGCATCAGACATGTCACACCAGCATAAGACTGCAGGAACAAACAGTGCTGTGCATCACTGTGAACCTTTTTTATTACTTTCTTTCCTACTTCGGTTTACTACCAGCACAGCTATGCCAGTGCAAGGAGTGATCCAAGTGTTTATAAATGAAGGCCATAGACAGGTACATGTGGGTCCAAGTTAAATAAAGAAAAGATTTTCTAGAAAGCTCAGTGTACACACTGAGCTGAGTTTTGCAGGATATCTGGCCAGATAGCTTGGAGCTCCTTTGAAAAATCTGGCTGCCCTCCTCTTCAGAACACGCTTGCACAACATGCTGATTAAATATATCCAGTACACTTACCTACAGCATGTATCTGCACTGCCACATTTCCTAGTTTAACAGTCCTCATTGCGGGCAAGGCTGAAGTGTATTTTAATTACCAAGATTCTGTACACTATTGTGTCTTACTGTTTAAGTGCCTGATCTGCTACTTTGATCCCAGACCTGTCAATGATGACCTCTGTTATGACAATTTTGAGTTGGCACATTGAAGTCCTTTAGGTGATTTCTCACTTCTTTTACTCTTTAGTGTGCATGGGTGCAAAGGTTGTCTATTCTTACATTTCAAATGCCACTCAAGTGATATATCAAGCATTTTCAATGAAATGTACATGAAAATGAATTACTCGTGCCATCACAACATTGTTTAATGATAATTGCATTTCTAAAGAATTATGATATATAGCCTTTCTCCTTTTATTTTATAGTGATATTATTGTACTTCAATTAAGAAAAAAGAAGTAAAGTGCTTTTGTGAGTTGCTCCATTTACATTTACATATTAGTGTTCAAATTTGGACTTACACAAAGCAAGTTTCTGTTTTGTGTTCAAGTACCTGATTATTACACAGAGGTAGATTTGGACAACATTATGGAATACATTAAAAACTAAAGTAAGGCTCTAAGACTTTACACTCAGAAAAGCAGAGTCCAAGAGCAGTTACTGTTTCTGGAGTAATTTAACCCAATTCAGAGAATTCTAGAACTTCATAATTTCAGCAGTTTCAGCTAAATTTGACCCATCTCTCAAAATTTCTGCCACTAAAACCCATACTGCAATTCACAACATCTGTCCAGGTTTTATCGTATTGATTAGTCCTTGTACTTTGCTGTCAAGAGGTGAATTTTAGCCCTTCTGGTACATGTCCATAGTTTCTGCTTGGAAATGAAGTATTTTTCAGATTTGTTAATTGGAAAGATTAACAAGTGTATGTTTCCTTCTTTTTATAATTAAATATCCAGTAGCCTAAGGTAGGAAGCAAAAACAGACATGAAGCATGTATTCTACAATGAATATTGTTCTGCCTACACATGAAGACACAGTGTCCATTGGAGGCTTATCCATAATTTTAGGCATCCTAGAAATACTTAAACAGAATAAATGCCAGAGCAGTAAGACTAAAAGAAGTTAGGCAAGCCTGCCTGCCTAACACCACACAGTTCTTAGTTCTTTGGAAGTAAAAAAAAAAAAAAAAAAAAAGACTTCCAGCTCATAAACACTGCACCACTTGTTAAGAAAGTGTATGTCATCAGTATGACCCTCCTGCACTTAACTGACCCTCAGTTGTTCACCTCCATCACATTTTTATTGCAGTTGTTTACTGCTTTTTTTCTTCTGTATGTCCTCCATCACATGGTTGCCAACCTTTTTCTTTTTTAAAAAAGAAGTGTTTTCAAATAGGTGTTAAAGGGAATAGAAAGAGCTTTGACAAAATAATGTTAGGAAGTGGCTGCATGTGACCGTAAACCCAAGATAAATGAACCCTGCGGTGGGAATGCAGACTCCAGCAACTGGCAGCACTCTGAAAAGTAAGGCTGAATCCTGCCAGCTGCAGAGACACGGTTAAACAGGAGTGTGGTAGCCTGATTCATGCTGTCATGTTTAAAAAATAAGTGCAAACCCATTTCAAGGGTGGTCGTGTAGTCTGTGTCTGGAGTTATTACTCTATTAAAAAGAAAAAAAAGAAAAAAAAAAAAGAGTAAAGCAAGATACAGTTTGGGGGTTTATGAGGTTGGTTGGATTTAGGTATTCAGTAAGAAAACCATGCCACAGGAATCTTACCAGCTGCTTTAGCTGCATATGTTAGCAGCAAATTCTGCATTGTTTGCAAACTAACTTGAATATTCTGCTTAGACTTTTGGGGGGAAGTCATTTGCATCAGGTAGAGATATTCCATTCCTCAAAAGGAAAACCAAATGTACTGTTTTCTTTATTTGATTGGCATACAAGGTTTCCGAAGATCTTTTAGTCTGATTTACAGCCCAGTACAGCTAATGCTTATATTAACTTCAATGATTGTTGAATTGCTAGATCAGGCCTTAATTTAAGGTCTGTTCCTCTCCCACTGATGTCAAATGTGTTGTTGCCAGTGACTTCAAAGGGACCAGGAGGAGGCCTTTTGTATCGTAACAGAAATATCTATGTAGGTAAATAAAACAAATAGTCATAGCTTTAAGAAATGAATTCGTAAGTCAAGATGACATTTTTCCAACTGTTTTAGCCCACTGATACCTATACATAATTTTTGTAACTATATAACTATACACTATATATATATATGTATGTATATACATAGTACAATACAATAACTTAACACTGGGTAACTTATAATGATAGATTTGCATTAATAATACGGGTCTTTTTATGTAAATAGAATATTGTAGAGTATCTTCCAGTCTTTTTCAGGATTGTTAAATTGAGAAAAGCAATTGAATATTTGTCCTATTTTTATGTTAAAAAGTGAATGGACTGAAATGTTAAATGTGAATGTAAATTTCTTATTGCAACTTTTATACTGAGTGTTTGCACTATTATAATTTCTGAAATCCAATTAAAAATAAAGGAAAAAAATCTGCTTGAATAAACAACTGTTTGGGATTTCTGTTTGTTTGACTGTTTTTGTGTAGTTGAATTCTTTTTTTTCTATATGAAGCTGCCCTTCAAAAGGTCCAAAATACTGCTTCTCCATTTTCAAGCTAAGAGCATACATCTAGCAATCCTTTAATTTTGCTTTTATAGTTGCCTTGTGCTAAAGAACCTTATGGGACCAATCCGGCTCCATTGCAATCATGTTTACTTTCTGCATTTATCACAGTGAAAGCTAGCTTGAACCAATTGCTCCATCCACTGTACAAGCAGAGCAAAGTAAACATGCACAAATACTGGCAAAATATTGGCCATAGAGACCAGAAGAAGGGGAGACCAGAAGCTCATCTCTCTTTCTCCCTTTCCCCAAGCCAGCAAGAATTCACCAATTTGGGCCAATTATGTGGATGCAGTAGGTGGTGTATATTGAGAAAACTGTGCAAGATACAGAACAGGCCGAAGTGCAGAATTATATATGCTAGCTTAAAATTGATTTGAAAACTGATAAAGTTGCATCAGGTAACATGTCTCTTAAGAGACTCTGTAGGCTTGGGCACAGAACCAAAGTAATTTGATTGTACCACTGCCAAATCACAGTGGACTGCCATCTGGCCAGCAAAAGCAGAGGCGCTCAGGTCTATCATGCCTGTCTATTCAGATATGCTCTGAGATAACTTCGAAATGTAGAGTCCTTTGCGAAGAAAAACAGCCTGGGTTCAGAAGTAAGATTTTGTTGTTGTTTTTGTTTTTGTTTTGTTTTCCAGATGCTAGACTAAGGCTTCCCAGCCACTTCCCTTGCGGGCTCAGTACAGAATTACTGTGATGACAGTGAGTATGCTGGAACAGTTTTTGGTCTGCCCTTACACTAATAAAAGGAATTGTCCGAGGCCTTACATAGCTATTTCTTATTTTCCTCTTCCTCTCTGAAAGAGAAGAAACCATATCTTCATAAGTTTCAATCAGAATAGCTCTAAAGTCAAAAGGATGCAGATAAACTGAAAATCTGGCATTCACCTTTAATTGGAGCTATTCTGCTGCACTGGTATTTTATGTATTTTTCTTAATATTAAGAAGTTTGACCCTCACTGTGTTATTTTTGGTGGTGTTATGCATATAACACATATATACATATTGTATATAAAATATGTACACACACACATATGTTAATGCAATAGTTAACACATATTCTGGATTAATGACCCAGCTCAGGTACACTGAAATATTTTTTCTGTCATGCCCATTACACAGCTGAATCACTTCAGAGACATAATCACACAGTGTGAAAATTCGTATTGCTTCAGTAATGAGGTAGTATCAACAGTGGGTTGCCCTCTGGTAATATTTTTGGACAAGAACAGCAGTTCAATTCCTGGGTGCTTTATTTTACAGAAATGCAGTATCTGGAATTTCTTGTTTAGGGTCTGCATTTCTATAGCATAAACCACCCAGGACTAGAACTGGTATTCTTTTCCAAACATGTTACCAGAGGATATTGTCAATTTAAAACAGAGGGAAGGGAAGAACGGAAAATGAGAACACAGTGTACATCATCCAGGCATTATTGGTGCAATGCCATTATATCTATGTCAAAGCATTCCAGTTTTGCAGCCATTCCCTAGGTCAGCAGGTCATCTAATGCACTGTTCCTGCTGGCAGAACATGATGTTCTGTTGCCCATGAGAATGAAATAATTATACAGGTACCAATCATGAACCATATTCTTGTTTGGATTATTCTTATGGAAAAAAAAGGCCGTAACTGGAAAGCAATCCACGTAGTGGAAATTGTCTGTTACAATTCTGGCTCTCATCTCTCACTGAACTGTGGTGAGAACATTTGAGGATGGGGATCTTGAGGTATAGCCAGGCTATCTAGGAGTCCTAATCCAATCCTGTGTAGATTATTCCTGCTATCAATTGCAGTAATAGTTTGCATAGGTTTTCAGGTTCAGGGCTCAAAGGATAGAAACGGGCATTTAATTTTGCATTAATATGAACCTCTGAGATTTGTGCTGTTTCTATACTTAAAACCAGACATTACTCCACTATTATTAGATTTAGCCATAGCAAGTGAGTGATGAATAAGTAGAAAGAGCTAGTGATGAAGAAGTAGTCGTGATTATTATGAATGTTTACCTTTCGGTTTACTAGGCCTAGTCTGAAGATGCAAATGAAGGCTTTCATAAACAGCCTGACATATCAATTACTATGTCACCATAGACAAAGTGGATGAGCTTCCCTATCACAAATGCTCTGCTTCACTAAATCAGTGGGACTCTGATGACTTCATTAGCATTCCCTTATCTCAGATCACCTGGGAATTTGTCTGTGGGATTCTAATATGATAAGAAAGAGCCATTGATAATCATCTGGCCTGACCTCCTGCAAAGGGCTATACTGCACTTCACAAACACAGCATTTTTTGTTTATTATTAGATGTAATAAAGTAGAGCAAATCCATCATTTTCTAGTCTCTGAGAAATTTGAAGTTAGACATTTGTTTGGCATAGACCAAACTGTGCTTATGCTGTTGCCAAAGGTCATGAAAGCATCACCGACTGTTTTCCCCCAAACTCTATAGTTACTCGGTATGTTTATTGAACTTTGGCAATAGTATTTTGTTCTCCTCAGCAGCATTGCCAACATAATTAGAAAGGAGCAGTCATATCAGATAACACACAGCAAGTCACTGAGGAAAGATCCCAGTTGAATATTAACTCAATGGACTTCTGGAGTGTAGAAACACGTAGAAAGTGTATAGGACACCGTCTAGTGAACAAACAACATGCAGATAGAACACATCGTGGCACTCTGGTAAGGCTGAAGTGGATAAGCATATAATGAAGAGGAGTCATTGACGTAATTACAAAGGCAGGTGGTGACACATTGATTTTATGAAGGTTATTGACCTCTACTGCTATGAAAGTGTACCTAGTTTCTTACCACTTAGGTAGTTTGACTTTTCAAAGTCAAATATTAATCATCCAGACCTTTATATAAAAAGATATTTTTCTCAGTTTGGCATTCCCTACAATGTTTTAGAATGGCTACTTGTATTTTATAAGCTTGTTTAACCAAGAGAAGCAACAATATTTAATGCCTTAGAGTTTTATAATTGGTTATAAGATAGCAGCTTCTTTAAATATTTACAGTCTAATCCTCCTCTCACATAGACACCAAGCATTGTATCTGAGGGTAGAGCTGGGCCCTGCTGTAGGAGGACGTGGCACTGAACTTGCCTATGAGTTCTGATACTAAACAAAGGGATAAAGGTCTGCTCCTTAAGACTTAAGACTTGTTTACTCAGTCCTATGTTAAAGCAGGGAAGAAAAAAAAAAAAAAAAAAAAAAAAGCTGGTAGAATATTACTTTCAATTCCCTGCACTTTAAAAACATGTGATAACATTTGCAATTATTTGGTTTTAAAGAAATCTCATTATTCCTTACACTCTCACTGAAATTAATCATATGGAAGGAGATTTAAATGCTTAAACAAAGGTTTGACTTTCTGAGTAGCTGCAGATCTCAGTCAGCATACATATTGCTGCTTTCAGTGTGCAAAATCAGATTTGCTGTCCAGCTGAATAGACCCAGTCATGGCAGAGGTACACTACCTAAAATCTGAAACATATTTCAGACTCAGTGTATTGCTAGTACTGAGCTGTCTAGGATTCCCTAAAGCCTCAAGCTGCTTATAAGATACTTCTATGACAGCAGTTAGAGTGGAAATTGTACCACACTTACTTCTATCCCTGGACAATGTAGCCAAAGACATTGACCTTGCCACTGGCCAGAAAAAAAGATCATTCCTACACAGGATTTCCAACAGCTGTAAAAGTACATTTCCACATGCTATAAGTAATCTCTCTCTCTCTCTTTTTTTTTTTTTTTTCCCTCCAGTAATCATATTATCTTAATCCAGCATTCTACTGACAATGAGTAAAGTCTTCCAAATGGCCAAAACAGATAGAGCGCAGATTCATAAATATATATAGCTTTTTTAACATACCACAGAAGATTATAATCCTTGGTTTCTGAAGATTTAATCAAAGATCCTTCAAAACATATGTATTAAATGACTTTTCCCATAGTATACCCTATCAAAAACCTCAGGATATTCAGTAGTGCCCAGGCATGTAATTCCTACTAAAATAAGTGGAAATAAGGTGATTAAGGCACTTTTGAAAGTCCCAGTGGGTTCCTTCATGCAGCTTTACATACCTAAAAAAGCTACATCCCCAAGAGTTTTGTACTGCTTCCATTTCAACATCTGTGGCTGCCCAAGGAGCCTACAACTCACTGAGACAAAGGCTCTGCTACTTTTCATATCCCACTGTATCATAACACTGGAAAGACAAAGGAAGGTGCTAGAGCTGTAGAGGTTACTTCATGATGAGGTTCCCTGCTGTTTTCAACCTTCATGTTGATAAATGAGATGTGCCACTCCTATTTTCACTGGGAAGTTCAGTCTGATTGGCAGTCTTAGAACATTCTGATTTGTCTTGACTATATCTCAAAGTTCAGAAAGAGGAAGAAAAGGTTATGAGAATTTGAATTAGATTTGCACTTTCATGGATTTCTTCTGTAAACAGCTAATAATCTGGGCCTAAATCTTCTAAATCTTTTAGGAAATATGGTATAATTTCTATTTTATTATTCCTTTCCATTCCTTTATTCTTTCCTCTAATTTATTCTCGTGGTATGGCTGCAAATTTAGGAAAGCATTTTCATCTTTGTATCCCTATCTGCATTTTTCCTTCTTTTTACATACCCCTCCCCTACGCCCCCCATCCCTCCCTTTATTCCTCCCCACCATCCCTTGTTTTCTTCCTCTGTCTCTTCCTCCTTCCTTCCATTTATCCAAAAAAGTATCATCCCGCTATGAACAGTAGAATGATGAGCTGTATTTACCATGCTCTTTTCCTACTGTCCATTATGTACTTTTTGTGGAACCACCCTCTTCACCAAAAATTATCATGCTTACCCCAGAGCAGGGAGAAG